GATGCCAAAGTTAAGATTATTCACGTTTAGATAACAAATATCCTTTTCATGGCCGGTGGACCCATCACATGCTCTGATTTTATCATGTTCCTCTGAAGTCCTGTAATAACAGAATGAGGAGTTAACAAGAGAAGTGAAAAACATAAAAAGCTTTTTCACTTCAGCCAGTGACTCATGTGATTCCTTCAAAGTTCCCAGATTAATATTCAGATGGAATATTAAATAATTCAAATCGGCACAAGATTCTGACGAAGCCACAAGCAGGTTTTAACAAAATACTGCTGTCCAATATTCGTCACTCTGTAACATCCAGACACAGAGTACTGCTACAGAAATGCATTGCAGTAGTTCATTTTCACAGAACCCCTGACTAATCATGTGCTGATCCACGGCACTAATCCTATATTTTTCTTTAGATAAAATTTCGCTCCACACAGAGACTGCGTTACATTTCTTGTGTTGTTTGCAGCTTTTATGCTCACCTGTAGCTGATGTTCAGCTTGACTGACTCATTGACTGGTTTCCAGAAACACTTTGTTCTGTGAGACTCAAGTGAACATCTGAAGTCCGTCACCAATTCAGCTGTAAGTACAACAAAAGAATTAAGTCACACACATAGATATATATTTAAAAAATAATAATTCTAGAAGGACTTAAGTTATTATATATCAGCATTTCAGCTTTCTGGTACTTACTGCGGCGCTTTGAAGTTTTAATGGTTTTGATCACAGGTCTGCTTTCCTTCCAGTGACTACACACAGGATCTAGAACAGCTTGAATGCTGATATTCCAGTGATCAGAGTGCTCATCTTCTGTGAAGTACTTCACTGTGAAATGATTAACTAGGCTTCGGGGCAATGGCTGGAAAAAAATATATATATATTTAGTGAAATTTAAATAATTCTTAGTTCTCCAGCACTCTGTCTGATATCCACTTTAAGGGCACTTTATTTTCATAAATAGAAAACATTTTTTTAGATAAATGACGCTTTTTGTGTTTTTTTAACTTAACTTTAGGGTTATTTACAGCGCTGTATTGTTCAATATAAATGATGTTTTATTTATTTATTTATTTTAACATATCAGGTCAATAAATTCAACATTGTGAAAAACTATAATTTGATTAATATTTTGTTTGTTTTCATATTGTCGTTAAACATGTTTGGACTAATTTGCCATACGTTTGATGATAGTAGGTCTATGGTACATGAAAAAAATGCCAGATAGGTCAAGTGGATATTCTTTATAGATTTGAAAACTGTCATTACTTATGGAAAAAACAGTTATTAATAAGAACTAATACCAAATACAGGTTAAAACTTTGTTTCACCAATCTAATGTCAGCCTGTCTCACTGCAGGCTTTCAGTTCCATATTACCTCAACTGACTGCGGTAGTTCATATCTGGATACTGCATATTTGACTGTACAGTTTTTCGGGAGATTGTCTGGCTTCTTCCAGTACCAGGACACGGTCACTTGAAATTGGTCATCCCACCTATATATCACATCTGTTGGTTCGGGAAGTTGATAATCTGCAGGTATAAGAAGAGCTGTTACTCCCAGCTTTGCATAAATGATCAATGCTGCTCAGAAACGATCGCGGTGGGCTACCACCGAAGCCAGAAATGACAATTCCCACGAACTCTTTCACAACACTCGCTGCAGTCTGCAATTAGTTCCTTGTGACACTCATTGTGACACTGATGTGTTTTGTAATACCTCGGACTGAAGCTGAAGATTGTAAAGCTGTAACTGTTGTCATCATTATACATCATTATATATATCATTTTTTGTGCTTCTGTTATGCAATAATGGTAGTTGATTGGCAGTAATTTGGCAAAGTCATCTCCAAAAACAGATGATCAGATTTATTACCAGCAAGCTCACAGAAAATGTCATTGCACCTAGGAATACCTAGGAAAAATGAAATTTAATTTAATTGCGCCAAATCAGGGAAATATCCGGCATGAAAATCACCTGACTGTACATGAACTGGAGGACATTCCTCACATTCCCCCTCCACCTCTGTTTTTACTATTAGATTGGTTGGAAATGTTCTTGAATCATATGCAAAATGTCCTCAGCACCACCCACACATGGAGTGTTAGGGTGTAGTAAAATGCGCTGATATCCACACTGGGCATGGAAAAGGACAGCAGTGATTCCTAGTAGTTTTTAAACACATGATTATAAATATGAATGTGTCATTTTAAATTAATTTATCATAAAAATGAATGCATCTTTAAGTTTATCTTACAATCACACAATAAAGTGCAGCTGCTCAGCGTTGAAAACGTGACGCTGACGTTTTCTTCGGATTACAGTATATGTGCACAGGTTTTTTATGCAAAGTGACACAACATAATGGGGGGTATCATATCTTAGACAGATGTCCTGGAATCAAAAATAATGGGGGAGATGATTTAATTTAAATGCTATGAGACATCCTTTTAAATTTTGCCTCAGCTCTGTCATTGTTACACTTTCACTTGCGCAGGTTCCCCCGCAACTTGGTCGCTGGTTGCGCTGCGCACCTGTACAGTAAAAGACAGCCTCTTTAAGCGCAAACTAACCGTTAAGGTGCACTTGGTAAAATCGAATAAGAAATATACTCTGAATTTATACTCAAACAGAAAGACATCAGCGAATGTGTTCCAAAGAGCTCTCTGAGTTAGCCAGATCCTGGGATCCCTAACACATTAACACATTTTGTTACTGGGGATTAGAATTAAAAACGCAAAACCACCGAGGTCAAGTTTAATGTGCTTTCCAATTCGTTTATTCATAGCAATAATTCATTACATGCCAATAATAATAACAATAATAATAGTAATAATACCACTTAATGTAATAGGGTCAAGACCCTTAAAGTAACACTTCACCATATGTTATTAGTGCAGCGGAAAGGAAATGCTCCTTGAAGAGGAAGAAACCTCAGGGTGGTATTCCCGGATAAGGTGAGAGGAAAGCGGAGACAGAAATAACTATAAATAAATAAAAATAAAAATACGCACTTACATTTAAAATTTAAATATTATCTGACTTATGCGTTAATTTATTATTTTTTACAAGGGCAAAAACACACAAACTACAACCACAAAAAGTGCTTTAATTTAATTGGCTAATAAATAGCAAGTTGTTAGAGAGCTCGAGACGCTCGGTTAACGAATAACGCGCGTGCGTCTAAAACATGCTAATTAAAGTCTGGTTTGACGGGCTGGGTACGCTCACCGACAGGTTCCCTTTAACCGAACAATTTTTAGATGTAGACTATTATTAAAGCTGGGATAACAACTAATGAGTGTTTTACCTGCTTTACAGTTGAAAGTCATGGTGGTCGCGCAGAGAAAGATGAAAAACTGCTGAGCGACAGTCATGTTGCCTCCAAGCGTCCGGACTTTATTCCTGGAAGCGTTTCAGGAGCTCGTTTGATTCCCTCTAGGAATCAAAGTAGAAAAGAAATGTATATATATCTATGTAAAAGGAAAAAATACCGGCGACAGACCGTCTAGGTTAAAAGAAAAAAAGGTTATTGTTTTTTTCTAAAAAGTGAATGGAAACCGGGAAACGAGAAAACGAAGCCAAAACTCCAGCTACACCTTAACTGTCTCCGTGCCCACTGAACCTTACCGGGAAGGTCGGGGCGGAGTTGTTTCGAGTGGGAGGAAACTGTAATGACAACGAAGCTACGACATGTCACGGAGTGAAAATGCGTAAGCAACCTCGGTTACCAAACGCTGTCGGAAACGGGAATCCAGCGTCCATACAACAAATCGTTTTGGGGAATAAAGGAAGCTGCTCCCGTCGCTCTCTTAATGGGGGCAACATTACGCATGCGTGTGATCTTAAGTGCGATATATCAAACCGCAAGTGTCCATCCATTCCTCCAGGAAGTCGTCAGGCCCTAAATGAGTCTGTGAATCATTAAGCTTATTATCTATGTGGTAATGGCTTTATGCTGCAACAAACAATATAGAGTGGGCCAAACTGATAACACGGGTGCAGGAAAGGCCAAGAAAAACATAGATAGTTGTGTTAGACTTCACATTTATTCGGTTATGGGTCAAGCTCAAAGCCTCCGTGGATGATATTAGACTAAATTAATGCTACAGTAATTGCGGTTGTAAAGAAAACTGCTGAAAACTTTGTGGTGGATTTCGCCTGTTTCAACATGCAGAAAGCAGCCGGTGGTTGAAAGAGGAACAAGCAAACCCCAGCGAGGGTTTCCAAAGAGCGCATGAAGCCTGAAAAACCAAAAGCTGTGAGCGAGCTGCTGCTGCGACACTTCATGTGTGGTGTGAGACGTGATAGTATAATCCAGTCATAAACCCTGTTTCTCACTAGGACAAGCAGAATCGAGTGTGCAGACAAAAGCCATACATTTTTTTGTTTGCACGCTGTACGTGCAGTGATTTGTGAATAATTTTATTATCTACGTCTTCATGCATTTGGAAAGTTTTATCATGATCGTCTCATGTAGGATTTGTTCCAGGCCTCATATCATGATGGCTCAAGTGTTTTGAACAATGAGGCTTGCTGACAGGCAGTGTCACACCTAACAACTTTTGTTTTTTAACTTATGAAGCGAGGCTGGTATATATGAGGAATGTGCTTTGGTACTGTCTTGGTGAAATATGTTTTCTCTTAAAAAAATGTTGCTGACATTAAATGAGCAAAAATCAAATTTCTCATTTCATCATTTGATTCAGTTACTGACAATTTTTTTTTTTTAAAAAAAAGCCTTTTAAATAATATCCAGATAATTGGGTTTTGCTTGTACCTACACTGGACACAGCCTGTATACGCTCCTCCTGTGCTTTCCCAGCTGTGATGGAAATGAAAATGTTTTGGGAGACTGTTTATGTTGGCTTTAAAAGGCCAGTGCGGCGTCCTCAGCCACATCTGCGGAGAAAGAATGTATGAGCGATACTAAAAAAGCCCAACAGAGATCTTTTCAACTACTGTCTTTAAGTTCAAACATCATTTTAGGCAAACACAATGAGTATTTCCCCCCCACAGGTTTTATTGAAAAAGGGATTTTACAAAGGAAGTTTGACAAGCAGCTTCACCTCAGTAAACAATGCAATAAAAATGACAAACAGAAATCTCTGCTAGGACGGATTCTGGACCAACAAGAGTCCAAAAAAGTGGCTATATAATACACCATACATACAATACATATAAACATACATGGATACAGAGTTTATTTTACAGCATGTTGACAAATTATGTACATCTGCTTAAATATTATTTATCTGTCTGCTAATTTCAGTGTAGCACTTGTGAAATACTGTGAATAACCAGCATGTGAGGCTTCTTATTACTCAAGATAAAGGAGTCTTTTCAGAAGACAGAGCACAAAGGCACTGGATCCAAAATCAGGTCTTTAATAACTCAATGCACTGAAGTAAATCTCATCACAACGCTGTCATCGCTTTGTCAATTTCTCATTTCAAATGTCCAAAAATAATAATATTTCAATGATTGTTTTCAAGCTGTAATAGAATTAGCAATCTATATTATGCATTCACGCGCGCACAGTCCAGAACACTGTTACTCCAAAGGGATTTTGTTTTGTCTTAACAATGCACTTGACAACTTTTAAACTACACAAGCCACTCCTGTCAGATTTATTCCAACCCTGAGCTCTGTCTTGTCTTCACTGTGACTTTGGAGCAGTCACAAGAGGCCTGCCATTGAATAAACATGGTAGTAACTTTGCCCTGACGCTCTATAAGCTGCTGCTCTTTAGTTGTGACTTATCTGTTTATCACCTTCTCCTCAGTTGTCAGGAATGCGCTGCTAGCACATAAACATCGACCCTTTGCCAGACAGAGTCTCGCAATGCTTTCGGTTAGTGCCTTTTATAAAAGAGTTGAACTAGTTGAGCCGGTATGGTAGCACGAAACCTCTCGCCACAAACACTGAGACGCAATCTAAAGGTGCTACTGTCTTTAAAAAGGTGACTCAAGTTGTAAAAGTTGGGACGGAGCGCAGTGTCCTGCATAGATCTAAAGGGCGGCATTGCAAATAGAAAATAGAAAAACTGTTTAACCAGCAGTCAGTCTGGCAGTTTGCTGTAAAGGTGGGGGGGGGGGAAAGTGCAATGCAGCTGAGCGTAACACCTAAACCTGACATGCAGACACGTAAATGGTGTTGCTGTAATACATTCTCAGAATTACTGCTGCTGTGGTTTGAGGACTAAATCTGAGTGCTGTGCCGCAAGCTGTTACCCCCACCGTCCACTGCACATCCAGCAAAGATGCCGTTGATAGCCAAATGGCATCTTCACCAGGGGGAATGTTTTGGCATGCATAGCTGGGCAGATTTGCACTGACAAATTCCCTGTTATAAACCAATCCAGGTCCTCAAGGGAGAAGTGCAAGGATATACAGAAGTGTGGGTGGCCGCAAGAGACGGAGGGTGGTGTGCAGGAGGTCAACCGAGGTCAGTGGACGTCCCGCTGATGGCACGGAACACATGGAGGGAGTTCTGTAGTAGCGATCGCATCATATCCTCCGGGTATATCTGGGGTCAAAGCAAAACAAAAGCACAATCAGTGTCAGACACACACTTTGAGTACTGTGAGTTCGTGTTCTTGCAAGCTGAGTGCACACTAAAGCTGGACTTTATAGTACTGCACAGTGGCCTACACCACAGTGGGTGATGGTGCACCTGCATCGCCCTGCCCTCACCAGAGACTAAGATCAGAATTTTGGCCATAATCTTCAACAGTGGGGTACTTTTTGTCAAATGCAGAATATTTCAGAATGTACTGAGTCAAAGCGCAGACTGTGGGAGATGTGAAAATGGCATAAGTCTGCACTGGCAGAATAATGGCTTAATGGCACTGTGAGCAAGCTAGATACATTTACAGGATAAAACATTGTGTTTAACGGATGCATTATTCTATGGTTGATCAATAAACTGTGTTTATGAAGCATATTAATTCCAAGCAGCAAAAACACAGTTTTTTGTGTACTGTGTTGCCACAAAGTGCAGATAGTTTTCTGAGAAGGTCATGCAAGGCAAGGCAAGGCATTTCATTTATATGGAACCAAACACTACAGTCATTCAAGGTGCTTTACAAGAAAAATGAAAAACAAAAATAACAGGATTTTTAAAAAAAGAAGACAGAAATAATATAAATAAAAACGACAATGGTAACAATGATGGAACAGCTACTCGGTAAGTTGAAAGCAATAGTGAATAAAGCTGGTTTAGCTTCTTTTAATTTCAATGGATACAGTTGGAGAAGTCCTGACCTCAGTGGGCAGCTGGTTCCAGCTTTGGGCATCACACTGGCTAAATCACCCCGTTTAGTTTAAGCTCTGTGACCACTAGGTGACCAGATCTTGGAGAAGCCTACCACATCTGTATCTTACACATCTTAGGCATACATTTAACAACCAGTAAAAATGTATTTTTATTTTTTATTTAAAATAAAAAACTTTAAATTTAATTTTGTATTTTAATGGAAGCAATGCAGGGAGCTGAGAATTGGAGTGATATCCACTCTCTTCCTGGATTTTGTTAAAATTCTAGCAGCACAATTCTAGGCTAACTGTAAATGTCTTGTAGTCTTTTTAGCCAGGCCAAAAAAGCCAATTCTATAAAAAATAAAGGCATGAATGAGCTTCTGTAGATCTTGCTGAGGACATAATCTCTCAGTTTAGCTACTTTTGTGAGATGCCAAAAAGCTGATTTAGTTACAGCCCCAATACGCTCAGTGAATCTAAGGTTCTCTTCCATGATTTTTTCCCACACGTTGCAATCGTGTATCCTTGTGTCCAAATAGGATAATCTCTGTTTTGTTTTCACTTTTTCAAGGCACAAACATAGATAGCCAAATAAATCTGAGTATCATCTGCATAGCAATGATAGGCTGACTTGTATTCCTGAATGATGTCACACAAAGGAAGCATAAACAAAAGTGGCTCAAGAACGGACCCTTGTGGGACTCCACGCAGTATTTTCTGCAACTGAGAAGTATCAATAAAGACAAAATAATCTATATAAATAAATAATAATTATACCTTCAAGGTATGAACTAAATCATTTAAGGATTGTTCCTGTGGGACCAACTGAATGTTATAATCTAATAGTATGTTATGATGCACAGTGTCAAATGCTGCACTAAGCTCTAACAGTACCAGGGTAGTTAGTCTGCCTGAATCCATATAAAAGCAGTTTCTGTGAAACTGATGAAAGCCTGATTGAAAGACATCAGGACAACAATTAATAATCATCAAGAAATTACTAATTTGATTTAAAAATACTTTCTGAATATTTTTAGCATAATAATAATCTCTTTTTTTGGGGATGAGTTCCTGCCCCAAGTGGAGGAGTTCAAGTATCTCGGGGTCTTGTTCGCGAGTGATGGGAGAAGGGAGCCGGAGATCGACAGACGGATTGGGGCTGCAGCTGCAGTAATGCGGACGCTGCACCGGTCCGTCGTGGTGAAGAGGGAGCTGAGTGTAAAAGCGAAGCTCTCAATTTACCGGTCGATCTACGTCCCTACCCTCACCTATGGCCACGAGCTGTGGGTAGTGACTGAAAGAACGAGATCGCGGATACAAGCGGCAGAAATGAGCTTCCTCCGAAGGGTGGCTGGCGTCTCCCTTAGAGATAGGGTGAAAAGTTCGGCCATCCGGGAGGGGCTCAGAGTAGAGCAGCTGCTGCTCCACATCGAAAGGAGCCAGCTGAGTTGGTTCGGGCATCTGACAAGGATGCCCCCTGGGTGCCTCCTGGGTGAGGTGTTCCAGGCATGTCCCACCGGGAGGAGGCCCCGGGGCAGACCCAGGACACGCTGGAGAAATTATATCTCTTGGCTGGCCTGGGAACGCCTTGGTATTCCCCCGGATAAGCTGGAGGAGGTGGCTGGGGAGAGGGAGGTCTGGGCCTCTTTGCTTAGGCTGCTGCCCCCGCGACCCGACCCCGGACAAAGTGGATGAAGATGGATGGATGGATGGATAATCTCTTTTTTCAGCTGGGGTTTGACACCAGCAGTCTTTAATGACACAAGGAAAATAACAGGGTGGATGGAACCATTCACAGTGTTCAAGAGCTCAGGGTCTATGCTGCTGTGGTACTGTAAATCAAGCTTGACTTAAAACCGCAGCAAAGACATTGTTTTCTTTTAAAACGAAGCATGTAAAATATATATATAATTAATTCTAAACAAATAGCATGAAACGAGGACAACGACGGTCACAATTTCTAACTCTGTTGTTCATTGTGTTTGGTTATTGCTGCAACAAAACCATAAAACCAAAGAGTTCCTCTCCAGCAGAGTAGGAAAAGTTACTAGCCATTGTCAGGACATCAACACTGTGCACACTGTTACAGTCATGCATGTTCATAATAATCCTAAATTGCAATTAATGAAGTCAGTGTCTGTGCAAGACCTTTTAAAATGCTCCATTTCAGACTGTTTTTTGTTTTGTTTTTAAATCTTGGCTCCGTGTGATGTCAGTGAGAACTGATCTTCTCAAAGACACAACTGCGGTTGTGCTCACAGAAGCCCCACCCACCTGCTGTTGAAACTTTATGTTTGAGAGTCTTGCAATAAGAAGAAAGTAGGTTTAAAGTGAGAGTGCTTCACCAAGGCGCATGAGAAAAATAAGGATTTTTTTTGGCCTGTCCCGTTTGCTACTTTTACAGTCAGAATTATTATGTGAAGGCCAAGAAAGATGCCCAATGGTGTTTTTCTCAAGTGGATCATTATGGCTTAAGGGTTCTTTTGTCTTGTGTCTTAATCCTGTCCAAAAACAGCAGATGGCTCCGCCCCTCCCTGAGCCTGGTTCTGCTGGAGGTTTGTTCCTGTTAAAAGGAGGTTTTTCCTTCCCACTGTCGCCAAGTGCTTGCCCAAACTTGAATTGTGATTTCAGGTAAAGCTGCTTTAATAGAATCCAAGAACGTAAATGAGCACAATAGGTTCCCTTTGAAAAATTTGACATACGGTGACATATATATTTATAATCTAAAAAATATTCATATAAAAATAATAGAATAATATTAACTAAGAGGCCCTGTAATAAGTCAAAAACATCATCTGTCATTCCAATGAAAACTAAACACTGGAAAGGGTGATGTCACAAAAATCTGCAGGTTATGAAGAATAATGTCTTATCGACTTAAAATGCATGTCACTTTATTTATTTTATGAAAGATAAAATGCAACAACATAAAAATTACTTTAGTTAGCAGATATTCATCCAGGCAGTGTCAGAGCTTTCATAAATCAGAGGAAGGTCGTCGACAGCTTGGCATTACTATGATCTATTTGAGCCTCCACAGTTAGCGGACCTCCCCATATGGAAAAGAAATAGAAAAAACTTATGAAATACTTGCATAAGATGTGGCCTACTTCATATAGTGAATCATATAAGGCTTATATGATTTACTCATGAAAGTGGCCACTTTCTCATTACTTTCATATATTGTTTTAGTAAGTATCCAAAACATACAAGTTTCATTTATATAATTTTTCAAGGGATCTTACATCTGTTTTCACTCTTGTATGCTTTTCATACAAGTTTCGCACAAGACAGATACAAACTTTATAAGATATATCTATCTATCTTTTCCATATGGGTCAACAAGCTATGTCGAGGAATATTTACAAAAAAGGTGCAACAGTAAAGCAAACAAAAGCAAATATTTCTTTATTCCACAGATGATTCAGCAGTCAGTGAGGCTGCACAGCATCCTCCGGGTGTTCCCCAGCTGTCGATGACCCCGCAACAACAGCTCCTCGCCTCAAATCAACAGCATCAAAACTTTGACCATTCAGTGCAAAACTATATTTGTTTTATTCTAACAAGGAGAGAAGCCTTCCTACTAAAAACACACCCATGTGACATAAGACACAAGGTGACAGATGGCAGCGAAGTGGATGGTATGTTTGCCTGTAGTCTAATTTGCTTGGGAATAATTCAGATGGCAGTAGATCCTTTTTTTTTTATTGGGATTCTGTTTTTACATATGCGGACACGCAAATAGTCAAACCTTAACCAGGACACCAGTGTGACTGTAAACAGGATTTGATTAAAGGTGTCTCTCATTTGCATGGTCAGTAGCGCTACTGATGACAGTGTGTCCCAGTGTGATCTGACAAGTTTGTCAAAGGAGGAAGTAACTGTGTGCAAAATGTGTCTCGTCTGCCAAACCACTTTTAACCTCTGCATGCATTATAAAGATCTTTCCAGCTGAATGCATTTTATTTGACATTAAACAAGCATTTGTCGGATCCATTCCTTTTAATCCCGTTTTATTTCTAATTAGGACCTGACTATTAACCACCCAGGTATCGATTGCTGCTGGAATGTTTTTGGGGATCCAGATAAATGTATTTAGATTACTTTTAGATTTAACCATAAGGTGTCTGGAAGAAATTAACCACAAAAGTGCACAGTCATCATTAGTGTTAATCAAACACATACTTAAAAAAAAACAAAATCACACACAGTCGCACATTACCTTGGGTTTTTTCCTTAAAGCTTAAGGCCAGCATAATGGAGAGAAAAAGTCAGACCAGTTAGTTTGGTTGCATCAAAAATCGGCAGGCACAAAAACAAATGAAAATGTGGCCTAACAATACCAACGGGATGTGTGGCAGCTGTGCAGCAATACATCATGACTTATCATTTACGGGAAGAGACGTCAAACTAATGCACAAATGCGATGAGCAACACCGACCAGTTTTTTCATGCATAAAAACTCATTTATCGCTGTTACAGTTGCAACACAGATGTGTTTCACAAGAGCCGACTCATTTGGTTTTTTAAGCCGAACATTTTTTGGTTTAGCCTAAATTCTACTGTCAAGGATTTTGAAGACCGTGCAACTAGAAGGCAAAGGACACAAGCAGTGTTCTGTAACGCTGGGAATAATTTTTTCTAGGAACTGTTTCTTCCCACTGTCACTCATCACATCTCACTTCCAGTTTGGTTGTGCCCAGTGGTGAAAATGAGGAATCAAAAGTCTGCTTCTGAAAACCGCTCTGTGAGTTATGTAACCGAAAGGGTCAAATAATCTCAACATACGCTTTCACAAAATCAGGCCTGTGTTCATGAAACTTAACTTGGCTCACGTTGAATGATAAGCGCACCAGCATTCCCGTTTATATCGAGCATGAAGCACAGTTTTTCATTGTTGACCCTGACTAGGGTAACTCTGAATATCAGCTCGTTTGCCGATGTGGACATTTGCCCAGCTTTTCAGATATCCACTCTCCACACCGGTGCAAAATCCAGCACACAGGCATTGCAACAGGAAGTGACTTTTACACATGAATCTTTCAGTGTGTGTCCAGCATATAAAGGTTTAGACTCTAAGACAGACCCTTTCTGAAGTGAATTGGGATCGGTCCCTGGAAGTCCTGTTCTGACCTTTTACAGCTGCGTGGTTTCATCCTGCACCTGACAGCTGTCCAGCAACGACCCAGAAACAACCCACTGCACAAAGTCACTTTTGGACATACAATTTTGCTCTACTGAAGGGGTTGTTTTATAACGGCAGGCGTCTATTATACTTCTAGTGTTGATGTCCATACAACCTCCGTGTTCGGGGTATTTATAGTCCAAACATGGTCGTTGTGGACGCCTTTTAAATGTCAAACTTAGACTCATTTTAGATATCGTTTTCGTAATGCTTCCACATGTATAGGCTCTGTATTCCCATGTTTCCAGATGGGCTGTTAAACTAAACAACAGTGAGCAGCTGCTCCGGGGAGCAGAAATGTCCTGAGCTTCTCACAGACAGTTTGCAAAACGTGCACATCGACAAAGACTGTGGAGCAGATAGTCCAGTTCATACAAACACACTCGCACGAACTTCTCGGACTTTCCATCACAACTCCTCCCAGTGCTACTTCCGATCACACACTCACTTCCTCTGACAAGACTCTTTACAATAAGACAGGATACCAACCTCACTAAAATAAAAACAAACTACCGGTATATATAATGCAAATGCACTTTTGAACTTGTTAAACACATTGTACTCCTATTGAAATGAATTCCAACATTGTTCTAAATACTTAATAACGATTATTATTTTATATTTTAACATATATTTCAAAGTTTTTAATATTAAAAAAATAATGAATCCCAGTTTTAAACTGCTTACAAACAAGTAAGTTGATGAATTAAAATAAATAAACCAGTTAAAGCAGGAAAATTAAAAACCACAATAACAAAAAAACCAACCCACATGTACTGAATAAATCAGTAGGCTAACGCATAATAAATTGTGTTTGTTTATAAATAATCCGTGTTGTAAATGTAAATAAAAAGATTTTACATTCAACAATCATGTAAATTTCCTAACCCTGTCATAGACGTCCACATGATGTCCCAAAAAATTACCGAGTCCAACGTTCAAATGTTGAACGTCATATTGACGTCCAAGTTGGGTCATGGCAGGATGTCCAATTTTCAGACCTTGGACGTCGTGTAGATGTCCAGAATTGGCCATGGACCGACTGACCTGATACAGACATGATCTGTACGTCTCTCCGACCTCCATTATTTAATGGGAAGGTTCAAAAGGCTCATGAGTGCCTTTGCTGCCTATGTCATCATGGGGCTGTTTACCATGATTTTGAAAATCAACATCAAATGGTGGTGCGGCGCCCTGATGAATCGCAGGGAAAACATTTAGTACAAAGGCCTGACATTTTCATAAATGCCATTGTGCACACATTGTTGTATCTGGATATGATAGTGAGTTGTGGCTCACCACCAGATCTCACTTACCAAATGGGAATTTGTTCTGCTTCCCAAAAGTGATATTCAAGTTTCAAGATAGTGGTTTTAATTCGGTTTAAAAACGGTAGACCAGAGCGTGTCAACAAAGTGCTTCTGTAGGCAGTCAGAACAGGACTATCAGGGCAGGATCCAAATGTGGCAATAGAGCTGGAAGCGGTGCATTTCTGAACCGTTTAATGACCTTAAAAGGTTGCAGCCAAATTTAAATTTGGTACTTTTGTCTTCAAACCTTATTATGAGTGTGGTCATTTTGATTGCACCTGTGTGCACCGCAAGCGGAAAAATAAATTTTTAGTGAACTACATTTTGATTTGCCTTGCAGGAACCTCTCTGCCACACACCTCTTCAAAGCGGAACAAAATATAAAGGTTAAATTAATGCACTGTGGGATTTTCCCACTCCTAACACAGACAAATGACGTATGAGTCGCGCTCGGGGAAATAAAATTACCTGCTCGTGGATGATGTCCGACAGCTCTTTTACCATTTCTTTGAAATTGGTTTTCAGGCCCTCGTGATACTCAAACTGGTCCTCTTTGATCAGACGCTCGTTTATGTCCAGCGCCATGCTGCAAGCCTCCACAAAACGTCTGGAATCAGAAGAAAGACATTATGTCAACAAGTTAAAGTGAGGGTAAGCCAATAAGCCCCTTGCGATTTTTTCTACTCATAAAGCAGACGTATACCTGAAAACATCCTTGAGCTCTTTTACTTTCTTGTTGCCGGACTGGTTGGATTTACTGTCATCCAGGAATGCTCTGGCATACGCCATGGGGCCTGCGTTCACCTGCAGAAAAACATGCCTCAAAATGTAACGCATTCTTCTTCTTCACTGATCAGTGCACGCAGATAACAACTGGTACATGCCACTCACTTTCTCAGCAGCCCCCAGCACGGTTTCACCACTATAGCTTCTTACTAACAACTCATGAATTTTCTGTCAGTCTGTTCATCAATCTTTCATCCAAGCGTCAAACGTGGTGGGTGGATTGCAGGGAATACAAGTGATTTTATGACTGTCTGCAAGTGATGTGTAAGGAACGTCTGTATTTTCTAACTACAAACAGCAATAAAACAGCTCTGTACTCGTTTTTTACGGGGACTTATTTAATAATATAAAATACACACAGTTAACACTTGGCACTCTGCCCAAGTGAGTCATAAAATAAACACACAACAACAAACACATTTCACTGATTATCATCTGAACGCACTTTCTCGTAAAGTGCTAACGCAAAGTTACTCGTCAAATTTGGTGAAGCAGATTCTTACAAGATACCAGGAAGGTTGCACTCAAAAAAGCTATTTACACCCAAAATGTTGACTTAATCTGATTACATGTAACATTAGCAATGGAATCTGGTAAATAAAATTTACTTCATCAGTATATCTCCAGTTTATGTCAAGCATACATTAAGAAAAAGTATCATTAAGAAAAATCATTAAGAAAAGCAGCAGGGCTGCGCAATTAATCGAATTTTAATCTCAATCGTGATTTTGGCTTCCCGGAATTAAACGAACACGATCGAGCGATATTGATAATGCGTGCACCACCGACAGAAGGCGAAGCGAAAGCAAATCGAGCGCTCCCTCAATCGCCACCTGAAACATGCTCGCATGAACACTGTGTTCCTTCCACTGTGTAGCGTTAACGTTATCCTGAACCATCTGGAAGAGGAATGCAACAAACTTCAAATGCTTAGAAGTTCTTTGATGTTCCACAAGAACAAATCATAAGCAAAGAGTGCTACAGGACTGTGTCTGCACTACAAAGCACCTCAGCTCATTCAACCGCCTGGAAGTATATGGCAGACTAAGGATGCACGAAGAAAAGAGAAGCAGCGTGGAGGTCGCTAACGTGAACTGTCCGACATCGAGCCTGTGGCCATGTGGCCAAAGATAACTGTCCACCAATCACAGCGAGGAACAGAAGTTTCAGGAATTGTCAGCTTACTGGAAAAAAGAGACGTTACCCTCACGGGCAGAAACAACCGAAATGCCACATGTCACAGGGCAAATAGAGAGGCACCTCAGAGCTATGAATTTCAGTCCCATCCATCACGCAGGTACAGTGAATGATGTACTTGTTTTTAGGAGGTGCACTCAGGTCGGGTGGATGAACACCTTATTTGCCCCGCATAAGAGCTTTAAAGAAGACCACAACAACAAAACCTGTTGTAAACATTCGAGCTGGACAAATGGTACATCAAAACAGCAGCCGCTTCACGAGCACATCTGTTTGAAGTCTTACTTCAGGTGACTTTAACAGGAAGGGGAACTGGAGCAGCGCCAGCCTGTTCTCGTCATCAAAAACTGCACATTTGTAAACAGGGGATCTATTCTCAGCATAGTAGTGTGAGTGTTTTGACAGAAACTCCTACACGAAAGGAAACCGCTTTAATTCCATTAGGGAGGTTGTGGGAAGTATCCATAGATGCAAAGCAAGGCTTGACGGGACATCCAAGGTTAAAGCTGGCAGACTGCCTGACCAGGCCACACATCCTATGTGGTGTTAATAAAAAGTGTGGCCGAGTCCAGACCGCACAAGAAACGATGACACACTGTAGTTGCTCAGTAATTACATTTGCAATGTAAACGTGATTTCTAAGAAGCTTTCAAAAGTCCTGCGTGTCTTCTCTGATGGCAAAGTCTGACTTCTTTAAAAATGCCAGCTGACTGTACAGACAATAAGCTTCGGGAAATGTTTGTTTAGTGTGAATGCTTTCAGGAAAAGTGTGTTAGCCTCTGGTAAAAACTGCAATATTTAATTTAATAACTAATAGTTAAACTGCAAAAGCTAAAAGGAGACTGTTGGAGGGAGTTTCTGGAATCAACCCTTTGAATTTCCTTCGGTGATCTACAAGAGTGAAAACGTGAAAGACTGCGGCACTGAGAGAAATACCTAAAGACAGTAAAACAGGGGTTTCAGAAACATTGCCAGCACAGCCTTGTTCAAGGGTAATGTCCACTGGGTGATTGTAAAAAATGAGGGAAAAAACACAAAGCCAGCAAAATTATCAGATTTTCAGTTCAGCACATCTTCTGCCTGGTTATCAGTTAATCTATTCCAAGAAAGAGCTCTGAGTCATCCTTAGATTTACAGCCCTATTACGGACAGAAGTTCAGCCATGGAGCTGTTACTTTGTAACTACTGAGTCAGTGAGGATTTCCCAGGTAACTGCACGTTTTCATCCGGTGCTCTGTATGACTGAGGAGGAGGGTCAATCACCCCCCATCAGCATTTTCACTCAAGAATGACACTTATAACTCATCATCATGTAAAAGAAAGAAAAAATACAAGTCAACTACAGACAGAAAACTGAAATATCTATAATGATATTTATGCGTAAATCTTGTTATCTCAACTAATCTGGAGGTACCTATGGCCAGTCAACTGAGGTTTCACCCCCTAAAGAAGATATGCTTAATAAGTTATAAATACTATTTTAGTGGGAGTGTGCAAGAAATGCCATAGAACAACAACAATGGACAGTATAGCAAGTGCGGGAGAGAGTACAACAGTGCAGCGTCTAAAGCGTGGAAGTGCTGACATTACTTTGAGTTTGATTCTGTAAAAAGTCACAAAAACTTTATTAGCATCTGCTGTTCACTCTGCGTGAGAGGAAAACGTCTTTCTACAGCAAAAAAATTTAACTTCAAATCTGAGCAAACAGCTAGCACGCTGAATGTGAAACCCCTGGATCCTCCCACTGACATGACCGCTGGGTCACTGGGCAAACCTCCGCCTGCCGCACTCCTGCTATACAGGTGAAAATAGATTTAAGAGCCGTTGAATCTTTGATTTTATTTATTCTCTGCTGTGTTTTACTCGCATCTATTTGAAAGAGTGAGTATAAACACAAAACATTATTTTATTTTCTATGCTGGAATATGCAGAAAATAGGTTTAAATGTTAAAGACATTTCTTCCAGTCAGAGGCTGTTGCATATAATTTCATTTTTGCTTGATTTAATGTGCATAAAGTTAAAAGATTAAAACTAATAAAACAAGTTTTAAAAAGAGGCTTTTTCATTTGATTCAATTTTATATGATGAATTATGCAGAAAAATAGAGCTGGGTTGAAAGGTCTATTGCTTTTTTATGTATTATGTATCATGTTTTTAAAAAGTAACTCAGCAATACTTTTGAAAATAAGTCATCAGTAAAGTAACAGGATTCCTTTCTTGGAGAAGTAAGCAGCAATTGGTAGCTAATTACCATTTTCAAGTAACTTGACCAACACTGGTAATCTGTAAACTAAAACAACACAGATTTTAGAATGACCTTTCTCTAAGATTAAAGAAAATCTGTGAAATTCAAAACAATTCATCTCCCTGCCTTTTGTGGTGTGTGCTTCTGATAGCTAGAGATACAAAGTGATGAGCAGCGCTGTCTTGTACTGGACCTTTTTATTAGTTAAGATGGGCTAGCGCTTATCGTTTCACTCTTCACAGAAAAACCAATGTAAAAATAATAAAAGTGAGTGATCAGCTGTGCAGCACATCTGAGAAAGTTTACATTTTGGTTTTTTTTTCGCCTTTACCTGCACAGAGACGCAGCCCTGCAGTTTGAGCTGCAGCTGGATCATGTCCACTTCCTGGCTGGAGCAGAGCTTGATCAGCTCCGCCGTCCGTGCCTTCATCTCATCTATGGCCACATCTACCGGCTTAAGCTCCACCTGCTTCTCAGCCACCACCTCCACCCGCTTCTTAACATATGGGAAAGTGTTGGCAGCTAAAGACAAGAGCGCAGGCAGAACCTGTTAGGTCATGTTACGGTGCAAACAATGAAAGAAAAATCAACAAAAAAAGAGACAGTGACATGTTGTAGGGGTGAATTCAGGTGAATTCTTGTTGTCTGACATGCCTGAGCAGAAGTGGACATATGAACTTTTGTGTGCGCAAACAATGAGAGATACAAGCATTCAGCATACATAAACAGAAATAGATAAATTGATAAAAAAAAGGTGCTCTTCATTGCTCAGAGGAGACTAATGTCCAGCTGTCACTTGCTACAGTAACCAGCTGTTAATACAGTTCAGTATTTATTGATAATTCAGTAGACAGACGTGCAACTACAAAAAAAAAGACCCATGTTTCTGCACACTGCTACTAGGTGGGTTTTTTTGCCTTTGAAATGTGCAACGGCGGAGGAAGAATGTGTTACTAATGTGGCGTATCCATATGCAAAACTCTATGAGACGTTCTTCTCGTGTTTGCTTTCTAAACGTGTTCTATGTACTTATGAGGATGGTCCTCCTCTTGCACTGCTCCTCCACCCCGCCGTGCTTCTTCCCCGACAGCGTGTACGGCGTCTCGAACACGAAGCGGCTGATGTTGTGGCACTTCTCAAAGTCCGTCTTCTTCTCTGGCGCTTCCTTCTCCTCGAAGTGGGGCTTGACAAAGGTCACTTGGATGTAGGCAAACTTGGGGTCAAGGTCTTTGGGGTTGACCTGCAGGCAAGCAGTCAGCAAGCTAAATGAGAACGTCATCCAGAAGCAACATGAAGTCTTGTTATTAAAGAAAGAAAGATCACTAGATAACCCACTGAATTCTTCTGAAATCAAAAGCAGACAAAGAAACAGTCTTTAAAACCACCAACTGGGACTTCATTGAAAATCCACGGGTGGAAACTGATCACTTTATGTTGGACAAATGATATTTTCTGAGTAAACACCCGAGTGTGGCTTCACTGCCAAATTAATTATTTCTATTTCTGCTACTTTCTGCTTTCCACAAAAACAGGAGCCTGCCAATTAAAGTATTCCAACCGTCTCCCACCCTTTCCTTCCTCCATTTATCTACTGTACCTTATTTGAGTCTTGAACTATCTTGACATTTTCTGGCCCAAACTTTTCCCCGTAGAGCGTCAGCAGCCGCTGGGAGATTTCGGACAGGCCGGTCAGTTTGGGTTCTTTGTAAATGTACTCCTTCCCGTCCTCCTCCTCAAAGAAGCCCTGTTCAAAATACACATTTATATTGGAAAACATCTTAAAAAAAACTTTGCAAAACTGCTTAGTACTAAATTTTCAACTTTTTCTTCAATACAAATGTCCTTACTGATTAGTAAATGATCATAAAAGATGCAGTCACAGACCACATGGCGCATGCTGAAGGATGTCACATTGTACATGTTTGCTTTATTTTCCTCAAACTTCCTCAAATCTTGCCTTTAGTCACTTTCTAACCGTTATAATTTAAGACTGTGTAGGTGACTGTTTTTACTCACAGCTTTGAATCACACAAAGCAAAGCTGAGAAACTGATTCACAGTTCTAAATAATCCTCAGTTACCTTCGACTTTGCCTCATTTATTCTTCTGAAAAAGTACTTTTTGGTTCCTCTTCCTTCAAGCCAAATGTCTGATTGGCTGATTGGCTGTCCTCACATAAATAGAAAGACTAGGCAGCAGGAGGGTGGGGCTTCTGTGCTCACAGATCGCCATATTAAAGACATCATATAAAGCCAAGAGGGAACATTTAGCTTAGTAGTTCACAGACCAGGGTTAAAGTCTGAATTTGAGACATTTTCCCAGAAAAGTGAACACACAATAATGTCTGACTACCCTAGAAATAAGGAGAAGCATTTCAAGGCCTAATTATCTCCCATCGAACAATTTACTTCTTTTACGTTCAAAAGTATAACGTCTTTTTCCTTACATGGACTGGCTGGAACATGACAGCTTCATTCAAATAAAAAAACACGGAACATCCTGCTTTGTATTTATATAACTGCAATGCTGAAATGTCCATCAAAGAGATTTGTACAGCTTGTAATTTCTTCCTGTTTGCTCTCCTGCACATGAGCACAGACAAATTAGCAGGCGTGCTGTTCCTGCTAACTGCCTGCTTTTGTAGTTTGAGTAAATAGATATTTGAAACCTCTGACACATGAAGCAACTCTTCTTTTGCCTAATAGAGAAAAGCATAACATGGACACTTTTGAGGAAGCTCTATCTATCTAACCCAACTGGGATGGTGTCAGAACAGAAGAAATATCTGATACATCATTGGCTTCCCAGCCAACGATAACATAGCTGTTAGCTTAAACATGCAAAGAAGCCAGAAGTAGCCACTAATAAACCTAACAGGCGAGAATGACCAAAAATAGCAAAGTTTCACACATAAGTCTGAGGACTCCCAGTGGGGGAAATAATTATTTGATCCCTGCCTAAATTGCAAGTTTGCTCATTTACAAAGAAATGAACAGCGGCTAATTTTTATGGTAGTTTCATTTTAAAGGAGAGAGACAGAATATCAACTAAAGAAGTGAGAAATTAATTTGGATGTCAGCATTTTATTCTACAGTCATGTCCCTGATTGTCCTTTGACACATCTTTGGTCTTGCCCAAGGTCGTGGAGAGGTTAGACTGGAAGAGACGCATTACTATGTGAGATCCGGAGCATCTGTGACTGACTGACTGACTGACTGACTGACTGACTGACTGAGTGACTACTGATTGCAACCTGCGGGCACACAGCCAATCTGCGGTGGGAGCCAGAATTCTGTGTTGCAGGGGATCAAATGTTTATTTCCTTCAGTGACATGCAAATCGATAATGTGTTTTTTTCTGTGATTTTGGTCTCTCTCCATTAACATGTAAACTACCACAGAAACTAGAGACGACTCTTCACCTCTTTGTAAGTGAGCAAAGAGGTGACAAGACTATTAATACTGTTATTTATATTATTTGAATCATCACCAGGCCCCGTATACACTCAACATTTACATTTCACACAGTCTTCGTGAGTGTGTGGGTGCTTTCAGAAGCTGCTTGTTGACCTCACCTGTCCATAAAAGGCCACTCTGAAATAGGTCCCGAGCAGCCTGCGGCCCGACTGGATCACCTCCATGATCTTATTGTACGCTCTGTGCAGAGTTTCGTACAGTCGGCTTAGTTTCTGGAAAAAGTGGAACAGATGCCATCAGAGCTCGCCTGTTGTTAGCGATTGTTTGTTTATCGCAGCAAGTGGGCCGTACACACAAAGCCGGCACAGGAATTTGAGTTATGCAACTCGGCAAAACACACACGAATTAAAGTCTATTTGTTTTTGTATACAGAAAAAAAACACAACTGCAAACCCACGGCTCAAAGAAGCAATTCTGTATATCAAGACAAACCAAAATATTATGACAGCTCTGCCAAACATGTCGCTGCTACATCGTGTGACGCCAACCGTGACCTCCCTGGGCATGGACTCTGGACACCAGTCAAGGTGTCCTGTTGAATTTGGTTAGCCGCTCATCCCTGATGTAGGTTAAGTACTGGAACGTCTGTGGATCAGACTTGTTCCAGCACAGCCCCCAGTAGACTAACGGCGCCAAGAAGGCATTGCTATTTCTGAGCCGCACACACATCCAGTGCAGGAGCCAACGCACTGCACACATTGTCATTTTGACATTTGGTTCATGCTGTTTTTCAATGCTGTTACAACATGTTGCCGCAGTGGAGCACAGTAAAGATATGACGGAACCGGTTAAGCAGGTACTTAAAAAAAAAAAGGGAAAAGAGTGGGATGAAATGCCGCGAAAGACCTCCTCCATTCAGAGCAAAGAGCTGCTAAAAGCATAAAATATAACCAGATATACTCGTGAGAGAAAGTGTAACACTGGGCGTTTTGAAAGGTCAAATTGGTATTTGACAGACTGAAATGAAGTTATGAAGCAGTAAATAATCTAACACAAACACCAGTGCCAGTGGCTCCTCAGGATTGTAATGCTGACATCTCTGATTTCAAACTCAAGATGCTTCCTGCATTTTTTAATTGTTTTTCTTTAAGTTTTTAAACACACAGGAACGTTTCGGTGAGCGCTCACAGTCCTCTACCATTCAACGCTTCAGACTGGTGCGCACTGAAGTAAAAGGAGATGTTTCACGCATCATATGACTCTTCTTCTGCACAAAATGATCCCTATTAGTGCCGCCTGCTCCAGTCAGAGACGTTATCAGATGATGATGAACTGGTGGTAAAAATCGACAGAGAAGATAAATATAACAGTGAAATGCAACACTGTTGCAAGCAAGACAAGAGGTTAACGTAGCAGGAAATTGTTAAACATGAGATTTAAAATAAACTGTGGCAAACTTGTAAATCACTGAAGCTCGGGTTTATTATCAAAGCGCTGATATTTGTTTCTGATCAGAGATTAAAGGTCACCAATAAAACAGGTATCCCTTCTAAGCAATGTTCCCTCTAAGCTGCGCACAGAAAATCTGCGTTGCGCACAAAAAAAATCTAACCTGAATTTAAATTAAAATTTTAACAATGCTGTATTGCAGTGTTAGTGAGTGACTGGCTGCTCCCATATGGGATTAGAACGATGCCACCTTATCCCATAGTCCAGCCAATAATGCCTATATACGCAGCCAATCAAGGTCGTTGACGGGCTATGACAGCGTCCTTATGTGCCGACACCGGTGTTTTAGCTGGCAAAGCGGCGTGGCTGATGTGGAGTGAAGCCACGTTAATGACAACGTGTACAACCATTGGAGATGTGAGCAGGACAGACGGAACAATTGACGGAAAAAGTGTGGACTTTATACCAGTTTTTAAATTGTGTTGATAGGCCACGTAAAACCAGAGTTATGATAAAAAAATGCAATGTTTGGTTTTCTTCCTGAATACTGTCGTTGTTTATATTTACTGCGGGAATAAACGGTAAAAACAGCGTTTTATAAGAAAAAAGGCTCGAAAGCACTCTCCGCCTGTGAGCAAAAACAAACTCCAGAGTGATACATCTCCTGCTGTCAGGCCTGCAGGTATCAGGCTGTTGTTCTCCTTTATCTCATAGTGGACAGAAATTATTTTTGGAGTGGCACAAATAATTTGTGTGGCATCAAATTTGATGCAGAACAGCTGATTGTTCTGTAAATAGTTTGAAATGTTTATTTAAAAACGCCTTGGCTGCATTTAAAAAAATAGCTGCAAAAAACTTTGTTGTTTGCCAAACTGAGTTACTTTTTTGAAGAAGTAACTATATAATTAATTGCCCAGCATTGGTCATTATTTACTGTATTTTGCAGACAGAGAGTTACAGGACACTCACACAGACTCACAATACAAGTCAGAGCTTTATATATATATATATATAAAAAGAAGTTGTGTTTTCGAAATTGGAGTTCAAGTTATAAATTTTCATGGTAATTGGGCTAAAGCAGTTAATCAAAAGTAGTCTAACATAAATGTAAACGCTGTAATTAGATTCTTTTAATAAACCATGAAACTTGGATGGATTCGATGCTGGTTTGACCACAGTGCACACGTCTGATGTCGCTCACAGTGGTCCAAGGGATCGCTCAGGAGGTTTGTGTGTTCGCTCAGACACGTGAAAAATTAGAGGGAACTTTGCTTCTAAGTTCTAGCAGCTGAAATTCCTTAACAGCAGATTAGAATCACCTATAACAACATTTAGGCATTTTCTGCATCATTAAATGATCATATGCAAGTTCCAGTAACCCTGCGATGCACAGTTTGCATTGAAGTCAGTTTTGCGCAGTTTGATATCACACTTAAAACACGCTTTTGAAAAGGTGTCATTTCTGGCTGATTTTAAACTGAAACTCTCCGTGGCAGGTCTTCAGAGAGCCACTTTCATGACTCACAGAGTAACCCTCCAAATCCACTAAAGCTGCATTTGTCAAACCGAAATAATCATCAACCACAAATTCTTACAGGGTGAGAAGGTGCGCAAAGTGAAAATATGCACTGTGAAGGGATGAAATGATGTCCCGCTGTGCAGGTAAAGTTACTGAGAACTTCATGTGAAAGAGGACACTTCTGTAAATGCAGGCCATTTCCTGACACTCACAGGAACACAGCCTTATGCACGACGGATGCGTGTAAGGATGATGTCACGCTACCTCATATTCGTGGCGCTTCTCATAAATGGGGATAACAAGTTTGGCGATGTGCGTGATGACTTCGTAGCGCTCAGCTTTCCACAGCGCGTCCACGCAGACCTCGAGGTGTTCCACCAACACTTCCTAAACAATGGCAGAAAAAGAAATGTCCTTAAAATGTTAACACTGATTCATAAAACGGGACCCATTATGCTCATTTCCTCTTTTATTTGTGGACTCTGGTAGAGTAGCTTTGCATCATTTACAGTTTGTACTGAGCCTTGGGGCAGCCCCTCAGTTCATTCTCTGTCTGAAACAAGCCAATTAGGCTCCTCCCCCTTGGACCAAGTTTTTCCTAGATGGTTCACTCTCACAGCCAGTGTTGCATATGTAACATGACCAAATTAAAATTAAATTAAAATTTAAGTTTAAGTCTTATTATTTTTACCACCTGTTTGTGAATGTTGACTCCTCCCATGACAGTAGCCTATTCAGTCTGACACGTCTTCACATCTTCGGTGCTGAAACATTTGGATCCTAAAAATGTCTTATATCTGCTCATCGTATTATTTGAAAGGTCTAATATAAGTATCCACCACTGTAACGGTGCTGAACACACTGATTAGGAAACAAGAAAACTCCAAATATTTTAGAAATCTAAAACTAAAAATTATGTTGTTTTTTATTAGATTAATAAACTGAATTCACAGTTTTAACCCTTTCACACGTAGTCGTCACTACAGCTATTCAAAGGCTGTTTTCTGGTATTTGTGTCAGTGTTGATGGTATACTCGCACATAAGCCAGTACATTGGACACTGATGTGTCACTCCCAACACGTTCTCACTCCCATAGCGTAACATTTTACCTGTAACCCGGCGTGTATCATAAGAACCTGTCACTCCATACCCAGCAACCCACTGGTCAGCCAGTGGACATGTAAAAAACTCTTTGAAACATTTTTTTCATGCCTAAAGACGAATAAAAATACTTAAGAAAAGAAATCCTGATTGAGGTCGTCATAATTCATGCATGAAAGGGTTGAATCCAAATTTGTGTTGAGCACAGTGGGTCCTCTTTAACAAACACTCTACAGTAGAGATGGCCAAACAGATTTTTGATGCTTTGCTTGAGAAACATAAACCCAAGTACAAAATTCAGTGACAAATAAGCCGTTTATTTTTGTTTCTGTTTGATTTGAGGTAAAACGACTGTTTAACTGGGTTGTCGGGTCGATCTCTATATCTTCAGAAAATCTTAAATAAGCATTTTTCCTGAACAGGTGCCACACCTCAGTGTAATAGACATCCTGCATGCCGGCGTCTTCCTTCATGGCAGCTTCCTCGTCGATGTTAAAGGTGATTTTCTTGAAAGCTGCCAAGCCGCTGGGGAACAACTCTGGTAAGCAAACAGCAAAGATGAGTGAGGAAAACAAAAAATGCTTCACAAAAACCTCCACTAGAACATTTTCTACAAAACACATTTCTATTTATTTATTTATTTATTTCCCCCAGCAGGTTTGGCAGGTGTTTTTGTGACACTGAGAACTCACGAAAATCCAGATAGGTGTGAACCACAACCAAATGAAACACATGAAAGGTGGATATTCTTCGATTCCCAACATGCTGTAACTGCCTGGTGATAGTTAATCTACCTGATGGAAGGTAGCTTCAGTTCATACGTACCGCTGGACTAAAACCTAAACAAATTTTCAGAGATAAGCTTTGTCGTCTACCAACTGTTGTCAGCATATCCACCACGCATTTGTTTGGCGGATTACAGAGACTTACAGCCAGTTTTGCATAAGATAAAGATACCCTAAAAAATAACGTACGGCATTGTGAGAATTTGCTTTTGCGACTCCACTGTGCTGTGGAGTGTTTGCACATTGTGACAACAGCGAGCCACAAACAAACTGCCAAGTATATCACCAGGAGGTCCAGAGTAAAGGCTGCTTCACGAGTTTCTAGCAGATCAGTTACACTAGGCACACAATGCCAAGAAGGATCACAGTATTTCTTGTGTACAGAAGGGCGGGGGACCTTACTTTTTCTGTTCAGGTATTCCGCAACCAGCGCAGCCACGTGAACATAACACATCGCAGCCTGTGGAGACAAGAAGAGGCCATCATGAACTGAACACACTGAAAAAAACTTTTTAACACCAGGGCACACTGTTTAAATGCAGCTGGCAATTGCTCAATAATATTTCAAACAACATAACATCATTACACATGATTTTCGAGGCTGCATTTAATGACTTTTTTGTGTTCAGTCATTCAGGCAGATATCTACAGCCACACCTACCACTGAAACGAAACTGTCTTCTCAGACTGTGCGAAATAGCTCTAAGGCATGAAAGCCATTTTTGACTTTCTCTTATCCTTTACTGAAACATAATCCAATATGTTTCTCCACAGGAAGAGACGTGATGTGGAATAGACAGTAGCTGAAAAGCTCAGCAGTTCTTTTCACTTCACTCATTTGATTGTATGTAAAAATGTTCGTCCTGTTGAAACCCATGTGGATAAACTTGACATGATTTTAATTAGTAATTAGTTTTTGTGTGGCTATAGTACATGTGTAGCATTCAATTCATTATTTAAATATTTAGTAATAAACATCAAGTACAAAAAACTTATTCAGGAACACTGCACATAAATGTGTATTTAAACTGTTATAACCTGTTACTGTAATGTATGTAACAAGGCCACAATAAGCTAACACGATATTTATACGCCTATATGTTGCAAATAAAAAGAATAGCAGCTCTACATAGAATTATTATCATGTTGACCCTCACATCAATAATAAATCAATAAATCACTGAGCTGACCTTGAACACCTCGATGTCTGCTAAACTGCATCGCTAATTTGACCGCTGTCCACACACCTACAAAGTCCAGAACACACGCACACAACGCTACCAAAAACCTCGTTAAAAACAGATCTAATGTTACAATCCCTCTGGAGTGTTTAAATTAACTGGCTCACTTTATACTGAAAAGTTTGAAAAATCCTTTGAGAAAAGTCCTTATATAAATATCAACTTTTAAATAACTAAATAAATACACTTGACCTGCACTTAACAGCGCATCAGCTGCACGACCCAGGGTCAAGTTCTATATCAGTCTTCACCTTTGAACTCGCTTTCCCATGATCTAATCCTGACCAAACGTTTCCTTGTACAACATCGGGACTGGATGTATTCACGGTATTAATATGAAAATTTTCATTTGAGTTTCATTTGGCAGAGGATGCAGCATTCAGTTTTGTTTCTTAGTCACCCTGAATAACCTTTTGCTGCAGCATCACCAAAAACACAAAAACAAAAGAAAAGGGGGCAGAAAGTAAGTGGACTTGTACGTTTAAAGTTTCATTTAATAACAATAAAAATACTAAATGCTGAAAATACTCAAATACATGTTGAGCTGGGCCTATAGATATTACAGTGTCCAGTTTGAAATGACAGCATCTCGGATTAACTTGAACACCACTGCAGCTGAGAAAGGAAAACATGGCCTGCAGGACTAATTCTGCAGGTCTCATTGTCTGTGTACCAGACAGCGTGAATGTGATTGATGTGCGATCAAAGATGTCTGGTCAAACAACACAACCTGCCTGTCCGCGTTATTCTCCTACAGACCGCTATCCACATGACTGTAACAATACAAAGATAATGACTAAAAAGGGAGAGACACAGACGTCAGAATCACTCACAGTCTTCCTGTTCATACCTCTGACAAATCTCCATTTTTGAGGTGCGCTCTGGCCATGCTGTCCAACCAGGTCCGCCTCAGCTCAGGGGTGCTGGCGTAGGACCGGGCCAGGCTGTACTGGAGGTCCAGCAGCATTTCAGGATCTTTTTCATGCTCTCGCATCTGGGCTGTAGCCATCAGAACTGTGCGGATCCGCTTGGTCAGACCCTTCACTTCTGAGGGGAAAGCTGTGGACTGCAGCAAACATACAGACACTGGTTAAAAAGGGAACAAATCTAGGAGGAAGCAGGAGCTTCAGATGTGGCCTGCATCCTGCTGCTAGACTAAAATTAACTCCTTTAAACGTTTTAAGTGCAGCGTGGGGGATGATTTTCTAATCTTCTAAAAAAAGGCTCTTATTCTGATAGGAGCGACAGAAGACAACATGCAGGCCACCCATATTGTGTTCCAGCCTTCATTTTATGTGTGTTACTGCTTTGTTACATTACAGTTACATTACAATCTTACCTATGCATATGGTTGGCTCGTTATGTAAGGTCCTACCCACAAGAAGGTGCAAGAGACGTAGGACCAGATTTACTCTGCATTAAAATACTAATATTGGGGTTTACTCAACAGCAATGCACAGAGACAATTTAGTGACTACAGGTGTGAACGCAGTAGCTTTTGCTGCTGCCTGTGCTTCCTGTGTATTTGTTTCCTTTTCAGAGCATCGTATCTGGGGAGGAAGCTATTTACAGGAATCGCATGAAAGCGTTTTTGCCGAGCAATTAAGAGCAAGTTGAGCCAAAACTTGTCGTAATTTGCATCTTTGATAGTTGCCATGAAGGCCAATTTGTTTGAAATGCCGGAGGGGGGAACAACACCAGATCACCAGCTAGTCAGAGCAAATCAGAGTCATCATTTAGTCATTATTAACCAACTGTTGTATGACACTGCGTGGAGGAAGAATATCACCGAGTTACGCAAGTGGCACAGCAACGCCAGCTTATCTATTATGGACTTGTCTGTAGTAAAGCAGCATTTTTTCTGGGTGATTGTTAGGGTCCGTGTGAGGTGTGAAATGTATCCAGATGAATCCAAGTCTCCAGCAAGCTCCATGATGCTGCAGAGTCCAGTCAGTTTCTCAACAAGCTGGTTGTTTGTGACCTCTTATTTCTGCTAGATTACATTTGCCATTATTGAAACGTAAACTTTTTATTCTCATCGTCACTTTGTTCTGCTAAGTTAATCAGTAAATACTATACGCCTTAAAACACTGCGCCATACTTCACACTAGTAGTCCTAGCAGTAACTTGAATCTGTCATCTAAACCTCCTGAGCGGTATTTACTGTTTAACCAAATTACATCACTCAAGCAATGATTCAAATTCCCATGAGGAGTAATGTTTCACAAGTGTGATTGTGTGGCTGCTCTTAAGAACACAAAGAAACAACAAGGGGAGCGAAACTTGCTCCCTTCAATCGCTCATGAAAGAACAAGAGAAACGAAGCAGGAACAACCTGAAGGTTAAGTCAGGCTCGATTAACCTTCAGGTCATCGAAGATCATCGAAGGCTAATTCACAGTCTCTTCCAAACAACTCATGACAAAAACAGAGATACTTTGGTGGTTAATCATCCACTGCTAACTAGACTGTCTGAATCCTGATTAACAAGTTTAAAAAAACCTCAAGTCATAACATCTTTAATACTTTAATACTATAATTACTGTTTTTGAATTATAACACTAATACCTCGGGATTTCCTAATCATCACATTCTGTCCTTTTAAGTGAAGTGAGGCACCGTGCTTTGTGTGTACTACAGAAAAATGGTGAATTATAGTGAAAAAATCATGAAGCAATGAGTAATGACTTGTTGTGACACTTCATTTACACGAAAAGAGCATAAAAATAAAGCTCATTCGCTGATTATCATCATCTATGAAGAAAGTGTGGATTTAGATCAATCTACAGATTGATTGTACAATACATCCACCTGGACACTCCTCAGTGAATAATGGTAACAATGAATGTTTGTTGGTGCCAGCTGTGATTGGTTGTCTAGACTTCCACAATACCTTCATGGCCTTGTCGCTGTTTGCAAAGTTGTTGATGATGGAGAGAGACTCCTGGAAGCGTGAACTGCCGGTCAGCGCCACGTCAGAAATCAGCTGGCTTACTGCAATGATGATCTACTCGGGAAAGAAAAGCAGGGGAAGGTGGAGGGGGTGGGGCAGTGGGCACGGAGAAAGATGAAAATGAAAGGAGGAAATGCACACACGATCCAGTAAATAGTGTGTGCACTAATCACTGCGAGACAATAGAAAGAGAAACTCAGCAGAACGTCTGCAATTAAACACGCTTTACATTCTTACACGCTTTACATTCTTCTCCTCCCTTACTGCACGTGAATTGCTCAGAGGAGCGTGCTTGGAGAAAAGAAAACCGAGTGCTGAACGTCAACAGTTGTCAACATTAACACTTTACCTGCAGGTGTGTGCGTAGGAAGGTTTTCCTCTTGGTGTACTCGTAGTTGTTCCTCATGAGCAGGTAGAGCAGGGCCGACGCCTCGGCCCGCAGAGAGGCCAGCTTGGAGACGCAGCACTTGAGCACCTCGCAGCACAGAGCCTCGCACAGCGTCACGCGACCCTTGAACAGCACCGAAGGGAACTGGCGGGACAACGGGTTAGTGTATTAAAGGCAGATTCAGGACAGGGCTGGAGTTAGAAAATAGAGTGAGTGTGTAGGAAAGACAGCGGGAAAACGATAAATCACTTGATACACAGTGAAGATATCACATTAAAACTTTGTGTTATGGTAGATACTAATAATAAGTCCATTTAGATTTGGCTGAAAATAAAAATGAAACCACAAAAAATAAAATAAAAAATAAAAAACTTTATATTACCCACAATTCTTTATGGATCATCTTCAAACTTCACAAAAACATAGTAGACCTCCTGGGCTAAGTACCTAGGTTGGCTAAGCATTTGACCTTCATTGTTAGCACTCAAGGTCAAAGTTCACCTTGAAAAAAATTTCAAGAAACCATATTGAGTAATAATATATCACATGAAACTGCATGGAGAGAGTTGCACGACAACTGGGTAAAGGAGACAATAAAATACGCTTCTCTGGTAAATAATCCTTCGACGTCATAGGTCAAAGGTCAGACATTAGGGTACTGCTAAAAATAAGCAGGATGGCATCAGCACGTTTCAATCAAAACATCGTAAAACGTCAAATTTATTCAGGTTTTGGGGGGAAAATCAAAGGTCTAGAAAACATCTGCATCATCAACCTGTGTATCAAACATGATACACTTGGCGTTAAAAGGTTATTGCAAAGTTTTGCTTGGTTTTTTTTTTGATGATTTTATTGTCAGGAAGTAACAAAAGACGGACCTGTTAACATTTTAGTTCTTCTTTCACATTGTAATGACCCTGATTAGTTTAAACTAGTACATATAAATTGAACTGTTTTAAGTTATTTAAATGTTTTGCCGATACACTGTAGTTGTTAGTGTAATTATTAAATTTCATAATTCATAATTTCATAATAAGATGAACTAAAGGACACTATTGCAATGCCTTCCTCATGAGTCTTGTGTACCAGCTAAGTCTTGAGTCGTGTTTAGACTTGAATTAGTCTCGATGCGCTATGTTGTTACCAGTGTTTGTGTGGCCAAGAACAGCAAAGGTTTGGCTGTTAACAGGAAAACACAGCACGCTGCTGCCAGGAATTACGATTGCCGGTAAGAGTTTTAATCTAGTGCAGTTACAAATATAAACCTGTGACGAAATACATGATAAAATGTCACAAAAACTGATATTCTGTCTCTAACTAATGAGGGGGGAAATCTGAACTGTTTATCTACATTTTTTTATTTACTGCAAAAGAATGCTGCTGTTAAAGTCCTCGCTGCCCATATCACCTTTCTCCAGTTTTCAGGCAGTCACAATACTCACAATAGCAAAAATCCACTTCTGGAAGTGGAAAGTTCTGTTTGTCTGCTAACAGAGGCCTAATTTCTACCAAACGCAGCATAAATGAGTGGATCAAACACAAGCAGACCGGATGAGAGCGCGGCTAATCCCTGATTAAAATAACAGTCGGCACAAGTTTCACGCATGTGTTCCACATGGAAACCGATCAAAGAAAGCCAGCTGAAGGAGAATCAATATGTTTCTGATACGAGGACGAGCTCTTCTGTTAGAAGGTGTCGTGCGTGGATAAATGTGTGCGATACCTGGATGAATCTGACCGCTCAGTTGGAGCACAAGATTGAGCCAGAGAAGGCTCCATTATTACCTCCAACATATATAAACATGATGTGCAGAAGAAAGCAAAAGATCACTGAGTCTGTAAAGACATTTCCGTTTGGAGTGTGAAAGATCCAATACTGGAAGAAGAAAGAAGAAAAACACGCGACTGTGTGTCGACTGCTGAGAACAGACAAACAGACCGTTCTCAGCTTGTCTGTGTGGTGGATTTTTAGCCACACAAAACTGCGGCTAAAACCCAGAGACACCGCTCTGCCTATGTGAAAACCATGTTTGCATATTTGCCTCTTGCAATCTATGATAAGTTCACATCAGTTAAGCAAGTAAGTTATTGTTATAACAGAAACGAAGGGGCTCACAGCTTTGGGGTCATCGTTCATAGTGATAACATCTTCATCCAGCATTTAAAATAAATGAATGACGACCGCCAAAGCAAATAAAGACAAACTTTTGTTTTTTGTGTTGTGAAATTAAACACAAGCACTCAAACCTCCGCCAAGAGAGCTGACTACCGGGGCTGTGTGGACTTTTAAGGGAACAGTATTGGATTTTGTACATATTCATTTTGTTTTCTTTGTTCTTTTTAAACAGTAAAAAGCAGAAAAAACATCAAATGTAATGTGATACTTTAAATGTTTACAAAGTACTTTCCATATGTTGACACAATTTCTGACCTTGAAGACCTTTTAAAGGCTTGTTAAGCTGACCTCACTCCACACTCCTACAAAGTTTTATTTGAATTCAGTTAAATTAAGCTTTTTGAGTGTTTGCAGAGAAAATGAAACACACACACACACAAACATACCAAACACAACCTAATAAGTCTGGCTGCAAAAATAACTGTATCAGCACTGCTCAGTTACTAAAGAGACATCATGTCTCTTTAGTAGATGACTACAGTAGCATTTAAACACCTAGTGATGGTTTTTGCTACTTTTATTCTGTGTAAACACTAAATCTCTACAAAACAAACTAGTGTAAACAGACCACTTTGTAGAAATAAAGACAGAATAGATTAAAGTACAAGTTGCAAAGACTATTTTTTGGGGGACTACTTTCAGCCGCGCATTCACACACTCCACCATTTGTGTTAATGAAGGACAACGTCTGCACTGTGGCTCACTCGTGTGCCTTTAACAGTTTGTGCGCAAAATCTGTTGACACAGGAAACCTGGACTACAAAGAAATCAGACAGCAGTTTATTGGTTTTAGAATCTCACAAACCACATTGTTTGACATTTTAATGAACCTGTACACACTGTAATCAATTTGCAGACGACTATTCGCCTGATCCAAGCACGAGTGTTTGAAGTGTTCATGTTCATAGTTACTATTTGCAGAGGCTAACCTTTAATGCTTGAACTGTAACAGGAGGAAGCATGGCAGAACAAAGTCTTCACCGCTGCTGTTCTCTGATTCATCACTTAATTAACTCACACGATACTGACCCTGCTGATATGATAACTCTAGGAAGAGGGTTGTTCTCTCCCTTGGGACCTACCTTTATTACCTCAGCAGCTTTTGACTGAGTTGTGCTGAAGCTCATTTCTATGCAACATAACAGTGAGAAATACTCAATTAGATACTAGGGCTGCCACGATTAGTCGACTATCAAAATCGTCGACAACTAATTTAATAGTCGACGCGTCGTTTGAAGCTTTGTAAGATCCCAAAAGACGCAGGAATAAGTAGTAGGATTTAAGAGTGTAATAACGGACTGAAACAGAAAAATGGCAGCACTGCATGTACAAGGATGCCAGCTGCTGTTAAGCCCCTGAAGAAGAAGAAGCTGTGTCCGGTATCGTAGCTGTGTCCAAATTCAGGAACCACATCCTCCTCTGCCCGCATTTGTAGGCCGATTACGTTACAGCGACATGACGAAGGCTGTCCAAATTTGAAGACTCCGACAAATGTGGCCGACAAATGCGCCCTTCATTTCCCCAGATATGAAGGATGGGTCGGGTGTATACTTCATGGCCCGACCTATCCCAGAATTCATAGGGTGGCCCTGCTCAGTTTCCAACATTGGCGGCACCTAGTTAGTTTTAATATTACTCTTATTATTCTTTCTGGGTCACAAAAGAAAGTTTTAAGATGTTTTCAGGCGAGAATGTAGCTGTGTAAACTTCAAATATCTGCTCAGTTTATCAAGACATTTTCGGAGACGTCTGTTACCCACTAGCTCGAAAGCTAGCGGGGGTTCAAGGCTCACTAGAGCCGTGAGAACACCGGACTCCTGGCAAATCGTTTTCAAACCCACCGCTGTCTTTCGCTACTCAGGTTAAACATGATATATAAGTCACTTGGATAACTTAAAATGTTATTGTTTGGCTTTTTTTAGTATTTTTCTAGCCGGTGGCTGGGAACGAGGCAGAAAACACAAGAAACACTGAAAAGCCAGGTTACTTTATTGGAGCAGTGTGACCTATGGGTTTTTTTTAGCTATTAGATGGAATGAGAGAGAATGTCTGTGTGAAGGCTGGAACCAGACATCTCACTCATCTCATTGTTCACAGTGGAAAGTTTTTTAGGCAGCGGCAAAAACAAAAACAAAAATGTATATCAGCTCCGGTCATCAAAAACACAGCATGTTTACCTGCTCCAGGCATCATCTGAGTCATACTGATTTTACTACTGCAGCAACACTTCGTACGAATGTGAACACATACCTTGTTAATGAAAGCACGCAGAGCGGCGAACACGTGTCTGAGGGCAGCTTCTGACTGGCCGACTTTGAGGAAAGTCAGGTAGACGTCAAACACCTTCTTCATCAGTGCGTTGTGACCGTCGCTGTCCAGCAGCTGGTTCTGAATCACACACACACACAAGAATAGATGCACAAAATATCAGTGCAAACTATATTCACCAATTTCCTACATCACTGTTGATGTGTGAGCAGACTTATGAGCTGAACGATGCTGCCTGCTTACAGAAGGACGTTTTAGGCGCATCTCATTCTGTTCTCATCGACTAAAAGCAAACGAGATGACAACGACTGATGGCAGCGGCTGATTTTTACTGTATCCCATCAATTTCGGGACCCTACAATTTGGGATCCAGTGTCAGTATCAGTACTCATGCTCGCATCAGATGAAGCCATTGATAAAGTTACTGTTTCGAAAAAAACAACAACCCACAGCTAGAGCATGAGGATACACCCAATAAAAGCTTCTATATGTGAGCCTGCTTGTAATGTGGCAATGCGAATTGCATAGGTTGTTGGTTGCAACTTTCTTGAGAAAAACCCAGCCAGACAACAGCTGCCAACAAATAAAAAGAATGACATCTAAATATGTCCAACTTCACTCCATCCTCCCCAAAGGACTACTTGAGAACAACACCAGATGTTCAGTAGGCTGGCTGGGGTCCAGAACTGTCTCGAAAGCATATCTCCACTTAAGGATAATAAGCAAAAGGACCAAGTCTGGTGTTTGGGTTTGTTTTATTGTCTTTAGGTAAGCTGCATTAAACAACACCGAGCAGTTGAGGAAGCTGTGAAGTCAAACAAAGGCAGAGCCGATAAAACAGAGAATCACACTCTCCCAGAATGATATGAACCTGCATGAAGGATGAAAAAATTAGCTTCACAAATCCAGCAAAGACATCCATCCACTGTGAAGCATGAGGTCAAGACTAGGACTTGGGTTTAGCTTGGCACTCAGGAGTGATGGTTAAACTCGAAGGGGCTTTAAATGCTTGAATAGCCTCTCATAAATACAACAACAACAAAAAATGGGCCCAAATTCCCCCCCACAAGTTTGAACACATTTTTGAGGCTCAAAATGTGGTTACTGTTAGGTTACGATTCGATTTATGCTAGGGGTTAGGGTTATGCATTCATTTTTGATGGTTAGGGTAAGCCGCTAGTGAAAGCATTATGTCAATTAGATGTCCTCACTAAGACATAAAAGGCAAAAGTGTGTGTGTCCCTCTGCTACACACAGAGTGGAGCAGGCAGAGCCACGAAAGGTTAAACAAAGATAACAGAAAACTGTTTAAAATGTGTTCATTTTTTAAATCGTTCATTTAGACAACATCAGACTCAGCACTTACTCGGGTGACTTGCAGAAATATGTAAAGAAAAGATGAGCATACATATTAAGATTTCTCTGAGTGTTATTAAGAGCTGAAAACCTCTTAAACATCACGGAGGCTGACTCAAAATTGCATAACAAGCACATCACTTATTTAAGGACTCAGTGACATTTGAATCACTTTAAAAGCTTATCTACCATCTGTGTGGTTGGACTGTGTGTGCAGTGCTTACCTTGAAACACTGAGTGAACAGACTCAGGATGTCCAGGACGCTGAGGCAGACCTCGGTGGAGGTGTTGCCTTCAAGCAGGGCCTGATGGTGGATTTCTGCTTCTGACGGCCCTGCCCCTGAAACACAGAAACACACATGGAGACATAAAGAAATCCTGAGGTGCTGTGCATGCTAATGGTTCACATTGCGGTGTAGAACAGATTCTAATTGTAACCCTTTTATCCAGAAAATACTGATGACTGCAAAGTTATTCTTAAGTATTGTTGTGTTTGCTGATTTCCTGCTTGCTTTGAAATGGTAATTTACATACAGCTCATTAGGCAAATGCTTCATTGACTGATTTAATTGCACAAATCAACATGTAATTACATCTTGTTTAAGATACTCCTAGTAGGTACCAAATGTTATTAAAGAACATAACATCCAGCTCAAGTCCATTTTTCATTATTAGCATAGAGCCAGAGATAAGAACAACTTGTTTCTCGGTAAAGTGCAAAATAACACGGAAAACACATGTGACACATCAGTCTATAGGTTACATGTACAATCATTTTATACACAGGTTATTACATGCAAATCTTTTGAGAATCCTGTAAACAGCAAACACTGCATTAAAGCCACAGAGAATTTTTTATAGAGGATTTTAAGTTTAAGATTAAGATGCAGCAAAGAAAATCCCTGTTTGTATGCGGGTGAACACGCCCATTTATTTTCTGCAACAGCGTTTTCCGTGGTGATTCTACACACTGTTGCATTAATCTAGCATTGCTCCAAATCCATTACGTGAAGACCAGAGAGGCCTTAGAGCTCGACATACTGCGGTCAGTGGCTCAAGATAATGTCTGTTTAGAAAGCACAGCCTGAGAGTCAGTTGGCTAGCTCTGTCTTGGAGGAGCGGCATTTCAAAACCATGATGAACTGTTTCCTTTCAGTCGATTCACTCGGTACAACGCATAAGTATGGGATATTGCGCCCTTGCATTTCCTGGCTGAAGAAACCTTTATTCACGCCTTTAAGGTGGATGATCTGTGACGACATACACACAGCCCCTCCTGCGCATATACCCCCGGTCATCCCTCAGTTCTTACGCTCTTCATCTCGCTGACAACACATCTTCTTTTTTTTTTTTTTGTGTCCGTTTGGATCTTTACCAAGTGGATCATCATGGCCTTGCCATATTGGTCCATTTGATTGACCTTTATTATAATTATGAATTTATTTTATTTTCGGTTGCTACAAACGGGACAGACATGACTGGGGGATAGGACAGGGAGAAAGAATGAAAGAAAGAGAGGGAGAGAAAGAAAACCAAAGGGGAGAAGAGACGGTGAGAAGGGGGGAAGAAAGAAAAAAAAAACAAAAAACAAAACACCTGGGTCACCTGTATGGAGAAAAAAAACAGAAGAGAAAGCAAACAACAAAGAGCAACATAATAAAAAAAAAGCACCATCACAATAAACTAGCTAGCAGTAGATATCAGTAGATACTAAATAATAAACGATATTGTGCAGCACGCAAGATAGACAGCGCACAATGTGCTTTGAGGCAGCAGCCAAGAAAGCTGTAGTCCGCGTCTGTGAACACCCGTGTGACACCTGTGTGGATCAGCATGCTTGATTCCAAAGGTTTCTCCATGTAACGATCTGCTAGGGAGTGTGGGGAGCCAAGCCCCGTCCCCAGGGTATGAAGCAGGTATGGAGGAGATCCAGGCCCCAGATATCCAGAGGAGAGTGTGAGTAATGTGGATGTCTAGGTTGCAGAATAAAATTGAGGCACAGGTGGCCAGAAGGGGACAGAGGGGGAGTGCCTCCCCTGCACCCTGGTGACATACCTGCACCCCAAGCCCTGCGTGTGTGGGTGGGTGTGGTAGAGCGGGAATAGGGAGGCAGCTGAGGATGGGGAGGAAGAAAGGGAGGGGCAAGCGGCCCCTCCCTGGGGCCAGCTCCCCCGCTGACCCCAGTAGGCACCCCCACACTCTGGAACCCACCAGGGCAAGGGGGCCCAGGCCTATCCGGACCAGGGCCCACAGCAGCAGCACCGCCCAGCCCCACAGAGTCCAGGGCAGCCCACCCGACTCCACCCCAGAGAAAACTGCACCCACCCCATCATCCAATCATCTCCCAAACTACACAAGACAATAGACACCCAGGTTGAGTTCATTCTCCACCTCTCCTATATCTCTCCCCCCACCTGCAGAGTGAGCTCCTGTAGTGAGGAGACCACCTGCAAAGATATAACAACAACCTCCCTACCAGTTAGAGAGCCCCCTAGTTGGGCCGATGCACCAGAGGTCCCCTGCACTGGGGCTGAGCCCCCCTGCACCCACCCGCCCACTGTTCCGGTGACACAACAGCCAGGACCCAAGCCCCCAAGGCCCGGCCAGCACCCCAGACCGGGGGGCGGAGCACCCCCAGACCCCTAAGCCTCCACGCCCGTCCCGGACCCTCCCAGAGGCAGCCAGGCTACCAGGCCAGTAACCAACGTCCGCCAGCACAGACCCTCCCCCATCTCCGCTGTACGCAGCCACAAGAAAAACACCATCCAAGAGCCCCAGAGCTCCTAACCAGGTCATGGCCACATCCCCCAGGTTAGGGGGATGTAGATGCACACGTGCATTCATGTTCTAAAAAGACCTTCTTCTGATGATTCACAGATACAATTTTCTTTGGTGATTTTCACACTTTAGCACTTGTGAAATCAGTGGTCACACGGTTGAGAAACTGCTGCTCTGCAACAGAACTGATAGTTTCTAATAGTTCTTTAAGTAGCACTTTGTAATATGGTCGGCGACTAACAGCGTAATTCCCCTGTAATCAAATGTCATTTCAACCAATGTTATTTGAAATTACAATGTAATTACATTTACCTATAAATACCTAAAGGTAGAGACACTAGAATAACAAGTCAGGTTTTTACAGGAAACAAAGAAATGACTATACTGTAAATAATTTTAAGTAGTGTACAATTTCATGCTAATTTTGTAGAAAAATGTAAATAATCATAAATCGTAACCTTGCCTTTTTACAGCTTTATTTAATTTATTATGCTGATGTGCATTTATTATTTATCATTCAACTGTCCTTTTATTTTACCAATATAAATGTGATAAGGGCTGTTCTTCTTTACCAGTTTACATTTGCAGGCCTATGTGACCTTATACAATAACCCCTTCATAATACAGCCTACAACAGGGTAAGATGGGAAAATGCTGTTGTTTTTTCCACAAATTACCAAATAATAAAGAAGTATTACTTACAGACTATTAAAATTTACTTTAAATTAGTTTAACTATTTGTTTCCAGTAAAAACCTGAGTGGTAGTATTAAGTATTTGCAGGAAAATCTTAATTACCTTGTAAATAAAATACATTTAAATTCCTTTTGATTACAGGGAAATTAGTGTCATACTAAGAAGTTTTCTTTTTCCTCGTCCACATGCACAGAGAAGAGCTGAACAGTAAGGTTGTTGACACACTTTTTCAACTACTCATTGCACCAGCAAATATGACACACAAATTGGAGCGTGACCAGCAAACATCCTACCAGAGCCTACACGTGGAGCTGGTGTGGTGGAAGGATTGAAGCAGCAGGCAGTGATGCAGCAGCACTCACATGACAGAGGTTGAGACAGAAAATTTTTTATCTTTTTAATGCCAAAATTGGAACGTGCACTTGGTTTATTATGTGATGGGAGTGTTAGTGTGCACGCTCTATTGTAGCTCCAGTTGCCTCCAGTTCCTTGCATCTGATTCTACTACTTATAGATATTTGTGTCCTCAAATAATACCAAATAAAACAATAAAAAAACTAATCGTTTCACATTCATACATTTCTTAAATTAAACACTTTCAAAAGAAACACTTTCATTTCAACAGAAAAGGTGAACATAAGGATAATAAGGACTGTCACTACAGACTAGGCGTGCCACATTAGGAATGTAACCGCCTCTCTCCAGATTCTCCTGTGAATCTTTCTGCAAGCCTAATCTTTAACAAACAAATCATTGGTTGTGGAATTATTGTCTTTCATATGAAATATTCCTGTGCAAACCTCAACTGTATGCAGACTCCCTCGGCTGGAACACAAATGCAATCTATATCACTTTACCCGCATGATTTCTTGACGATTAGTGCGGTGCTGGCAGAATTAACTGTTCCATTACGACTTCAATTCCTGTAAATTTCTAGGAATCTTAGATGTGAAGTGTTTTGCAACCTGACGTCTTGCATGTGAACTAGTGGGAGTGCTTACCTATGTTGAGTGTGAAGGAGGCTTCCATGGTGTTGAACTGGTGTATCTTGCTCTGCATGAGGCTGGCACGGTTGCAGCGCATGGGTGGCATTGTCTGAGACTTTCCACCTGACGAGAACAGCTTCGACACACATGCCTCCTGGCTCCTATATCGATAATAACAGGAGCAAGAAGGAAGGAGGAAGAGGAATAACATAAGACCCTGTTCCTGTAACTCTCACTGAGCTGGATGTATTACGATATATAACAAATATGTTAATACCTGATAATTAATAAAAGATCGACACAAGCTGATTAATACCAAACAGAACATTTTAATACATTTAAAAAAAGAGAGGAGTAAAGGTGTATTTCATTGGAACATGACCTGGCACCTTGCTTCCTTAAAACTCAACTAAATTTATTTGGGTTTCAAATTTCAGGTGCTGACAGATAAGGTAAATATGACACACAATACAAAGGCGCAGCTTTGTTTTCCAGCCTTACCTGCCGATGTTCCTCTTTCCAATGTAACGGAACTGAGCCAGACAGACCCTGCGGAGAAAACATGAAGCACGAGGCGCCTTTTGCATCCACTTAAAATGTTGACACAAGACTGATAGAGCAGTTAAAACACACGTATAGTTTTGTTTAATATTTACATATGGCTGTTGTTTCATTAGCTACTCACTCGAGCAAACTGAGGAAGTTCATGATGTCTTGAGGGCTGATTTTGTTCCAGTAGGCCATCAGGGTGTCTGTGGGCAAAAAGACAAAGTGGACACACTTGGCTATATGGTATCACTGTCAGAAATAGCAGAACAGGTAGCCGAGTCACGTTCTGAGTAAGTGATGTGCACTGTGGCTATAGAGCCTCACTGACCTTCTGACAAGGTCTTGGCGATGTGCAGGAAAGAGAACAGTAGGCCTTTGATTTCATATTGTCCCAGTCTGCCGATAGGAGGCATGGTGCTGCTGCTCATGGTTGAGGCGCGTCTCTGCAGCTGCAACAACACACAGAAAATGCTCGTTAACTCATTTTAAAGCACTCCTACTTCCTGTTTGGTTAGGACCAGCACTAGAGGAAAATCTTTGAGTGTCAGAGGATCTAAACGGTCGTATTTTACAGAAGGAGAATCATTTATTTAAACCCAGACTTGAGGACAGGCTCACTGATGAAACCTTTGTTACCAAAAAAATCCTGAGCGCAAACAGTATGTGAGAGGTTGCTTTCGCAATTAATATCTCTTATCAGCAAACACACAAAACAAACATGTTATTGCCTTTGATTACACAAAGCAGTGACAAGAAACAATTCTTAGAATTATGCTGATGAGGTGAATCGTGGATGTCAAAATATACAGATTTACAGATAAACCAGCAGAAAAGCAAAATTTAGAGCAAAATTGCACAAAAACCACTGAGCAGAATGTCATCAGTCCTGGAGGCGAGGAGGAGACGGAGAAAAGGAAGAACCTATTCATTTTTCACTTGTCTTTACACCTTGGCCTTAGGGGGACGACATAGCTTCAGAGTGCTTTTTCTGTTTAAACGTCATTATGTGTTTTTCTTCAATCTGTCAGGGGTTTCATCTAACTGTCATTTACAGGTCAAATCCACATGACTAGCACTTTCTCACGTTGTGACTGAATTGTAAGCACGGGCGCCTGCTCATCTGGCATCTCATCACGAAACGCGAATGATCGCTGGTTCACATGAAGGTGGCGTTTTCCAGTACAAGCCACGTCACATGTTTCCCAAATGAGTCATGGTTGAAGAGCAGGAGAAGAGTTTATGTTGGCTCTGAGTTTACAGAGGTTTCCTGCTGAGAAGACACCGCCATTGTCCAAAAGTAACATGCAGCTGCTTTTTAACATCATTGCCAGAAAGTGAGCCGTGAAGGCTTCAGATGTAACGCCGAGGCCGTGTGTGTACGTGGCCTACACGAAGCCCACGTCCGGTGAGTAAAATGTTAAAGTGGAACAAAGCAGCGCAAAAGTTTGAGCACTTCAGAACTAATTAGAATTTCCTGATTTGGGAAGTGACAACAAACCTACCAGTGAACAAAACACTTAAACCGAAATTTGCATATCGCATGTTTCAGGCTGCTTTGCATACGGTATGTTTAGGTTTCCCGCACAGTGTTTCAGAAGTGCTTCCGTGAGGTGACTCCAAAGGGCTCAGACTGCATTCTTAGAAGTTTTTAAAAATGCATATAAAAAGTTTCAGGGCTGCAACGCAAAACCGTGATAATCAGACATTGTCAGACTTGTCTTGATGTCAACAGTTCAGCATAACTGACATTTCTGAATGACATTCCAGGTAAGGGAAAAAACAAAGAAGAACAAACCAGTGTCCAGCTTGTCGGTTTTCTGGAACTTAGAGAAACCACAAAGTTTATTTATCTAAAAATGAACTGACTGCCTAAATATGTTTAACCTGTTGGGCTAAAATGAAATGTTACCTCACCTCATTGCTGTCCGGTGTTCCTGGGTCCATAAATAGAGAGCCTCTGGAGTCTTCCCTCCTCACAACGTGGCCATTCTGAGTTGGCTGACCTGCAACCAAAATAGGTTTGTTGGGGTCCAAAGACTGCAGATTTGTCTACACTCCATGTCTCGTATTCACAAAGCTTCCTAACAGTAGCTCCTAGTGAAAAATTCTTTATATTTTCCAATAAAATTAAACAAATTCATAATTCTAAATAAAAACGTATGAAACCATTCTTACGTCAGGACTCTCAGGAAATGTTTGGGCCAATATGCTATACAGGAACAACACACCATTACTCATTCCATTGAGCCTGTGAACATCATTGTACGCAGTAGTCCAGCACCGTGATGTCTGAGAACACAACCCTTGTTGTGTCACCAGGGAATAAGAAGCTAATGAACTCCTTTTCTGGAATAAACAAAGGCTTTCTACTTGAGACTACAGATGATTACATTGTTGCTTCTGCTGCTTTGATTTTCATATTTGTTTACTTTCAATCTGCCCATTTTGGCCTGTTTACGCTACCGAAATGCAAGACTACGTGGTCCCTGTTTTAAACATTTAACCCTTTTGGTCTCGAAGAATAAAAACAGTTTAGCCTCCCAATCTTCTCAGGTCAACGTGTATTTGACCTAATGAGCAGCTGCTATAACTCAGTAAAACACCCACGGTCACTGGGTTTTCGAGGATTTTTCCAACTTCTGTTTGATACTGATCTTATTCCTCTGATTTCAACATCATGTTGGTAGTGAATAAAATACTAGAAATGTTGTAGGATTGGCTAAGAAGTTTGATGTCTGTCTGGCCAACAGCTGCTGCTTTCAGACAGAGTGCTGCTAATGGATCAGTGGGTGTTGAAGCCATATGTTTGTATCATAATGAATAACGTAAACAGGAAGACGCCATATGTACGGTTTCTATTGTTCTCTACTCACCGTGCTCTTTCTCGATCGCTGTGCTGATCCTCCTCATGTCTGTGGATATTAGGTCATCTCTGGAGCCCTGGCCAACCACAAGATGGAGCGAGTGAAAACTGTGTTGCAAAGAGGTGAGCTGGCACATTCCGAATATTATAATCAGACCAAGAGCAGATGTTCGACATTCTATTTCCTGCAATTTGAGGAAATATTTTAACGGTGAAAACAAAACGTAACAGTTCTGGCACCTTTGTTCGGAATGTATTGTGCCACTTTAGCTTCCTCGGAGCAATCTTTTACTGTTTACTCACTCAGTCTGAGAATTCCTGCATTACACAGGAGGGATTCCCAGCACGTACGGTGCTTAATACATCTATTGGACCACCAATTTATTATTCTACAGCTGCCCTGAATTAACAGTAATTACCAAAATAATTGCTGCACATTTCTGTAAATGCACTGGGTTTTAACTGATCTGTATACCAGACCAGACCAGTTTTCACAAAATCCACTGCACTTGGCACCACGGTACACTATTTGGCAACAACTGAATTGAATGTAAAATAGAGAGACTGACATTAAAACTTTTATAGTCTGTAGGATCCCATGAATGTGTGCCCACTGTGGGTCAGAGTTCATGCTGCAAGATTTTGTCTTGTGATCACTTCCCTGGGATGGAATAGTTGTGAAGCTCCGGCTAGTAATGCTAGTAATCCCAGTACTGGAGTGGCGTCAGCGACACTGCCCATATGGAAAAGAAATAGTAAAAACTTATATGTGATTTACTCATGAAAGTGGCCACTTTCTCATCACTTTCATACATTGTTTTAGTAAGTATCCAAAACATACAAGTTTCATTATATAATTTTTCAAGGGATCTTATATCTGTTTTCACTCTTGTATGCTTTCCATACAAGTTTCACACAAGACAGATACAAACTTTATAAGATTTATATATATCTTTTCCATATGGGTGGGGTTTGCAGTCTTCTTGAAACGTGCTCCTTCAAACTACATGACATTAAAGTCATCTGCCAAGGAAAACAAATAATAAAGCTAAAAGCTACTTTTGACTACTCTCTTATCCACAGGAGGTCACCAAAGCGGGTAGCTCTGCATGTTTGATTTGGCAGAGAGTATTTGTCCTGGGATCAAGTCGGGGATCTTTCTTCAGCTATCTTTGTAACAACCACTTTGAGTTTCAGGACATCAGAAAGATGAATACGTCTGTTTCTTTGATCCCTGGACCTTCAGTTTATATTCCCCCCCTCCCGTGTTTCCCTGTTAACTCTCACTCGCTGTTTGGTGTTTTGATATTTTTGTTGACGTGTAGTTTTGCCTCCCCTGTCTCATTGCTGTTGATCAGTTTCAGCTGTGACTTGTTACCCTGTTGTTTCCCGTCTCCCATCAATTTTTTTTCAAAATAGTGTTGTGTTTGAATTTCTCTGTATTTGTGTGCGGTTTGGAGTATACATTTGTTAGCACTCAAAAATGTGCACACAAATCATTGTAAACATTTGTAAATGTTAGCTTGTGTTTGTGGATTAGACCACACGCACATTTGTAAACCTTTTGAGGCTAATTTCACTCCAAAACCAAGCTTTGCAGGCCACGCTGGTCCTTGGCAGATGGTTTCAAGCCAGGTGTTAGACTCTACCTTTGCAAGATAATTCGCATTAACATTTTGAATTTTCACTCCACATCCACCAAGAGGCCTCACAATGTTGCTGAACTGAAAACAGGTCAACAGCGACAGCACAGTAGGCTGGGCCCTATTGTATAGCACAGGTAAACTAACCTTTTTAATTCATTTGTCATTTTCAGTCCTGTCAGACAGGCTAGTTTGGACACGTGCTGGAGAAAAATTCAAGATTCCTTACCTCGATTTTACATCATGTATCTGGCTTTGTTTAGTACTTCATACGACAAGTAGCTGTCATATTAAGGATTTTGCAACTAATTATTTGAAACTGGAAAACTGTAAATGAGACTTTTTGAACTGAACTGAGAAACTTATGAGGCCCTAATTATAGATGAAACAGCGTTTAGGATTTATCAGATTTTTACTTTGATAAACACGGTCATAAAAATAGACTGGTACATACTGTACAGTATGCTTCATGATTCCATTGAATTACAACAATCACTCCTTCTGAATAAGTCTATGCCTGACTGAAGATCTTACAGCACAACAGCCAATTCATATGTGAAACTGACTTTGAGTTACATCACAGAAATCCCCAAGAAAAGGAGCGTTGTGAGGTGACTCACGTTTAGGCCCAGCCCAGGACTGGAGATGAGAGGCTGAGCGGAAAGCTGCTTCAAGTTCTGGTAGAGCAGCTCATAAAGTGGGAGGTACAGCAAACAGATCCTGGCCTGCTGGTTCTGAAACCATAAACATTTGAAAACAAGTAAAAGGAGATGATTATTGTAGGTTAATGTTAGCTACACATAGCCCTTACCTTTCTGTGGCTGCACTCTAACTTAGGTGGTTTGCATAAGAGACAATCTTATCTAAACTAAAATAGAAAGGTATGCACAGGTGGTGACCTGTGTCACATACTTCATTTACTTTTATGGGTAAAAATGCTGAGCTCACTTGGTAGGACATTTGGCCTCTGTTGATGATTGATGTATTACACATTAAACAATGTCTCCTTTATTTCTTATTCAGACTCTTCAGACTTTTGTTTCTAAGATAGGCTTTGCTTTTAATGCAGGTGTGTATTGGGTAAATGCCAAATCAAATACTTTAATCATTGGAACTCATTGTTATTTTGCATTGTTCCGAAACAGAATCGTTGAGAACAATAAATCATTGTTCTGCCCTTTTCTCCGTCCACATTCCTGCTCATCCTGCCTCTGCTAGTTCCTTTCTGTTTGCATGCTCCTAACCTTGAAAGCGGTGTAGCGATCATCCATGGCGTGTTTAATAAGAAGGTTCTTGAGGATGCCCACGGCCTGTTGCCTCACTTCGGGCGCTTGCTGCAAGGCGTCAGCCACCTCTCTCAGCAGCAGCCCCACCAGGAAGTGGTTACGGCAGTATTCCTCCGTCAAACTGAACTCCAGACTCTGCTCTGTGATTGGGCCAAACAGGAAGTGAGAGAGCATCAGGATGAGCTGAAGTGAAATTTCCTAACAGTAAATTCTGGTCTGGTAAAAATCCGTTTCCAATCTAATTGAATCGACTTCTTACAACATTTTTTTCCTTGTGAGCAATCAGTCTATAATGTAACAACGTAAGCTGCAGATGTTAAAGGAAGAGCCTAAATCCTCGACCTCAGCAGCTGTGTAACACACTCTGCTAGCACACTTTAGGCCTCTTAGGGCAGTGCTCTGAACTTCATTTGGTATGCTTCACTTCTCAAACCACAAAAAGTCTGCACGACACATTTAACTATTGTTAGTTATTAACAGGAAAAATGGGAACAAAATTTTATTGAAAGGTTAGCATGATAGAATCAGCCCAGCATCATCCAGCCCTGCAAAACCCAGTAAAGGCAGCTGAAGGCTGGAAAGGACAGAAACTGTGGACAAGCTGCAAGAGTGAATGACAAAAAAAAAAAACGGGAATCCCAATAAAAAGATTTTTTTGGATATTCTGGGAGTTACAACTGGGTCTCATCGGCCAGGAAGTGATATTCCCATATTTTCTCACCCTTAAAACACGATAGAATGACAAATAAAATTAGGTTCTGAAACATACTCAAAGTAAGCATTTGAGTAAATAAGCTTTATTTTATTATATTTGATTGGATATAGGAGATTTTAGACCAGTCACGAAAGCTGAAATCAATGTTTCATAAGGGAAACAGTGATCCGGCTAATGAACTGTTTTTGTTTGTTTTTTTCCTTTAATTTCTCCTCAGACTGCATAGTTTTACTAAATAACTATAAATAAAAAACATCCTGGCTTAATAGTGCACAACTTGGCCCTGAAGAGTTTTACTTCCTGGCTTTTCTCTTTTGCGGCGCCTTGCAAGATAAATGCTTCAGAGCGCTTTGCATTAAAAGCACCAAACAAGCACCGACACAAACACAGCAGATTTATACGATATGATGTGTCTTATTCAGTAGTTATAATGTTTGATAGAAGCAAGTGTGGCAAATTCAATCATTCAAAGTGCATCACTCCAAACCACTATGCAACAAACTCACGGAACACATTCATCAGGACATTAACGTTTCCACAACACACAAAGCGGAGCGGACTTGAATAATTCATCAGGAAATCTGCTGGAAATGATCTTTCGGTGTTATTCAGACAAGAGAAATAAACAAACAGACCACTAAAAAATGAGAAGTTCAACAGAAACAATGACATGGAGTTCAACAGCAGCCCTGGGTTAATATTAACACAGGCAGTGCAGCCTGGAAAACAGAAACCATCTCCAATTATCTCCTCTAATGACAGACACGGGCAGGCAGACAGAGAGACAGACGGGCGGAGGAAAGCGAGAGAGAACCACAGCTTCATGAGAGATGCTTCTGACTGGTGTTTACAACAATCAAGTGAATTAAGCATTAGGAAAAGAGGATTTGTTGATTCCCATAACAGCCCAGCTGCTCTCCTCTACAGCACGCAGGCTCGGGCCCTGGTAGGAAAATGAAGGCAAGAGCCCGGAATTAGCATTATTCCGAGTGTGAGGGGAATGAGTGCCCTATGAGGGTGGGTGGGAGGAAAAAAAAATCAGGCGGCGGTGTGGTTAGTGCAGGTGAGGACAAGGAGGAGCAGTCATGTGCAAGGTGTCAGCAAACGTGGTGGTGTCAATGGATGCGGTGGGCTTCACCTACCTACGGGCCCAAAAAGCTCCGTCGCATACGGAATAAAATCTGACCACAAGCAAAAACACACAAACAAACAACAAAAAACAGAGAGGGGTGGAGTAAAAATAAAGACATTCGGGGTAAAACTGTAAACAATCCATGCAGCATTTCCACAGCGCGCACTCCAGTGTTTGTTTTCATGGTGTCGTGTAAAACGGGTTGTGCGATAAAGTGTTGGCAAACCTTGTTCACCAGAGATCCGACTAATGGTGTGATGTAATGTGTGTGTGTGTGTGTGTGGGTGTGTTTGTGGGCCAAACAATTAGGCGGGTTAATAGGATCAGTGTGGTGGATGCATGTCAGAAAAAGGTCAGGGGCTGGGGTCGTGTGACAGCAGGTCAGTGGATACGTGTGCGGTAAAAAGTAGGCCTACACAGCGCGCTCTTACCTTGTACCCTCTGCAGCTTGGTGCGCCCGAAAGCCATGGGCAGGTTGAGAGGGATGAAGTGCTCGTGGTTACACAAGGTCATCAAGAAGTCAAACTTCATCTCGGTCAGCACCTGTGGCCAACAGGCGAGAGTGCGGTTCGCACACAAATATGCAAATTTCGGCCAAACAGAATTCTCAATGTAACATCAAAAGCTGCCCGCGGCGGGGCGTCTGCGAGAGCAACACATTTGACTAACAAATCCAAACAACATAAACAGAGAAGGCCGGGAGAAACTGTTCAACATCAGACACAGCGACAGGTGAGCATGAGACAGGGCGCGACTACACACACATCGTGGAGGCGCTCATGAAAACGCCCCAGTTGCACACTTCAGTTCACTTTAGATCTTTGTCCTTTAAGGTGGTTAATAATAAATAATGAATGCCGTGAATCTGCAAACATAAAGGTGCAACTGATGTTTAGAACGCAGCAGTGCTGATGCACGTGTTTAAGAAAATTCAATAATAAATTGCTCCAACGGGGAAAAATGTCCCCTTTTTGGATAAAATTTTTTAGGCTAGTTTGAGTAGTTTCACTAGTTTTTGTTTTGTTGTTTTAACCTTAAAAAAAACTTCCTAAAAACCTAAATTTGTCTCTGACATATGCCCTCCGGACAGTAATAATTATAAAGACTCAAACTGACACTGAAGCGAATAAAAAATCAACTAAAATTAAACATTTTCAAACAATTAAAATTAAACTGAAATAAGAAGAGCTGCCCTCAAAACTAACTAAAAACAAACATTTAAAATGAAATTAAAAATTAATTATATATAAAACTAATAAATATAAAACTATAATAACTCATTTTTCATGTTTCTGTAATGGTTAATCCATCAGTAATAATATTTTTAATGCGAATATAATTATTGCAATCATGCATGAATTTTTCAAACGCACAGTTTTACAAGAAAGCTGCTAAAAGAGTTTAATGTTGCATTTAATTCATTTCTGATCTCAGAGAGGAAGAGTATGCCTGCACAAAGCTGAGTTCAGAAACATCCATTCAGTTTATTTCACTAACAAACAACAACATGATTTTAAGATTTGTAAACAATTTGTCCACAGGTTTGTAAAATATTTACGTTCTTGTGTTTACAACAGATGGTTTAATACGTTTATGAAATTTTGTACGTGACAGGAAACCGCTGAGCAGGAAGCGGCTTTATTAGAACTGACTCACTGAGAAGTAATAGAACCTTTATTAGAAAACATACTACATCAGCTATAATCAATAACAGTGTGTATGATTCATAAAATTGCTTTTATTAACATTTTATTGAACAAATAAATTAAATATTATTGATATGTGCTATTTATTATTGAATTATTGAAGCCTTGGGTTGTCACACATGTGCTACACCTCCACTCTGACGTTGTGAGGTTGCCCAGCTCTGTGGAACACGTACCTTGGGATCTTTAGGGCTGAAATGACACATGTAGTGGTTGACCAGGCCGAAACCGAAACCTCTGTTCATGACAGTCAGGCACCTCTGAGGAGAGAAAGCAGACACGAGAAAACAAGCTGCTGAAATTCATGCAAAACGATGGAGATCTCAGACAAAACAATGCACTATTTTGTCTGAGATCAGCATTTAAAGGCGGCGCTGTCGTGTCCTGAGGCACAGCAGTAACACATAATCTTACGGATCACAACAACACTGCTAATACAAGTTCAGGCTCGTAATACACCCTGAACTAAAATTACAGCAAACCTGTCTTGTTTTTTTAATTTTCCATCATATATAAATAACAGTGATCCCTATTAAGGAAAGGGCCTCAAAGAGAGTACCTAAAATGGTTATCTTAGGCTTAAAGAGCTGCTTAAAGAACAAAGCCTCACCAGCTTGCCGTTGTAAACAGTCTGCTTATGAAGGGCTGCCAATCAGAAGGAGCTAAATCAGCCTGTTTAAATCAAGGGATGCCTTGAATGACTACACCAAGGCCCAGTAAAAGGCCCTACTCTAGCAAAGTCCATGAATAAAAATAAGCAGCTGGAAATGAGCAACAGGTCTTCTTTGAGCTGGTTTCATATTTAGCCTTTGGGGTTCACACCTTGATGAAATTCGCCAGGCTCAAGTTGATGCAGCGAGCCTCCTCTGGGATTTCTGAGTGGCGGATGGTGATGTGCGGCATAATGGACAACACCAAGGACTGCAGAGCCTGGTGGAAACTCTCCGGAAAGCGCTGGGCCCGTGGCATCTAAAGAGTGGGGAGGAACAGCATGTAATGATGCATCACTTTAAAGTCAAACAGCCACCCATATTATGAAGACAGATCATTCCCAGCATATAGATAAGACTAAAAGGTTTATACTGTCTCTAACTACTTCTGTATAGCAGCAAACAGCAGCGCAGCTCGGCCTGCTGCTGAATGTTTAGGATTTTTGGCAAAGACTCAGATGTAACACAGGCTCGCGGTATCAGAATGCCAAGTACACAATGAGTTTTCTTTGGGTGTCTGTGTTTTGTGTCATCGCATGTGGTTACGCGGACATAACAATATGTGGACTAGGTCTTATAACAACGTCCAGTCCACATAAGACTTTCAGTTAAAGACTACAAACTCTTGAACTGCTCAGCGTTATTGAGCGAAAAACGCTTTTTACCAACCTTCATGCGGTTCTCCTCCTGCAGGTACTGAGCCATGGATTTTGCCATGGTTTCAAAGAAGAACCAAGAGTACTGCAGAAAAGAGCGAAAGGTTACCCATTATGCAATCTTCCTAGGAATATAATGGGAGTACATTACAAGCAGAGTGAGTCAGGGGAAACTGGAAGATAAAAGAGACATGAGAAGTGTAGTGTCCTACAAGCAGCTACATGTTGAACAAGTTTCTCTTTCGAAACTGGTGACAACTGCTGTCAGAACCCTTCGTCTCCATTCTTAGAGAGTTGCACCACCTGCTGCTTAAAGTTGGTTCTACGTGTGGACGGATGCATGAATTATCCGCGCGACTGAGTGCGCACCTTGAGCAGTTTATTGCTGGTGTTGAAATCAGCAGTTTGCTTGAGGGTGGCTGTTACAGCTGTGGCCAGCAACTCGTGAGTGGTCACTGAGTTTCCTGATGCAGGATTGTTGGTTACAAACACGTACTACGAAGAAAAGAGAGAGAACAGTAAAACAAAAGCACTTTAGTTTATAGACACAAGCAGAAACTGACACGGGCTGGCAGTGTTTGCGGCAGCTTACCTTAACAAAAGAGCGCAGGTAGTGTTCCAGTCCCTCCTCGTGGCATTTGGAAACTATATGTATGATCACACTGAGGGCACAGAGCACGGAAATTCAATCTATGTCCTTTTATCAGGAGTAAAAGCAGTAAAAGTACAAAGAATTTGTTTTTTAGCTGACCGCAAAGAGTTAACAGCAATCTCGTGGGCTTCTTTGGTGGCGGCTGTGAGCACCTCAAACAGCTGCATCAGCACTGTTGGCAGGAAGGTGATGATGACATGAGTCTCCATGGCATGTAGGCACTGAGGGAAAGAGGCCAGACAAGATCACTTTTACTTCTGACTCCCAGATATTTACAAGAATCGTGATTACACGCCTCCACACAATATATATATATCTCCCTGATCTTGAAAAACTGTAGCCTATTAGATATAAAATCAGCGCTCGGCATTATTTTATCTGATAAGAAATATATGTGAAAATCTGTCTTGATCTGTAGCTGAATCTCTGTGCTTGATGTAATGAAATTCCCTGTCAGACATTGCTGACACATTTCCTTCATATTCACAGCACAGACTGTATAAAAAAGATGGGCTTAGCCGCAGTGACATTCTGTTGGTACGCCTTATGCTGCCAAAACAGCAAAACTTTGACCTGCAGCAGTTTGCCTGCTGGGTCGGACCACCCGGGCCAGCCTTCATTCCCCACGTGCACATGTTAATTGCTCCCTAAAATGTTAGTCCTCCCATAAAAATGTTTTCCCAAAGGAAAAACTCTCAAAAATAAGACAAATACTTCAACTGATTTCCTCTAGCATTTAAATAGTTATGATTTTTCATACAAAATTCAGTACAAAAGAGGTTAATGTCTAAAAAGATTTAGTTTTTTGGCAATATCTTTTGTCATTGTTGCATTTGGGGTTGCCATCATCCATCCATATCCCTTATCAACTTAATAAACTGTGTTATAAGCCTTTTATTGCTTTAATGGAGGCTGTTGTATAATAGCACTGAAAGGTATTTTGATTGTTGAATGACTGAGGCTCTGTGAAAGCTCATAAGTAGTCATAATGATGCATGCCCTACAAAAATGATCGATCTGTTAGTGCATTGCCGAATGACACATATAGTGGAAGTACTGTAAATGATCAATAACTGCACATGGACCAAAGCTAAAAAACTGACTGCGCACTGCCTCACAGCATCTTACCTTCAGGTATTTGATCAGTTCTGCTGGGTTGCCTTCTGATGCTGTTCTCATCAGCTGGCAGTGCTGGAAGAATTTGTGTAGGTGGAGGTCCTGCGGCGAAACAAAACAGGACATCAGTGTTCCTGAAAACCTCCATTTGTGCATAAAAAAGCAAACGAACCAAATTGTACCTGAGGATATATCGTTGATGCTACGTGGGTCCTCACTTTAAACAGTGTCTTGGCGTTTTCCACCCACTTGATATCAGCCTGAGACCATTCGAAGAAGACAATAGACAAAACAGAGTCAATAAAGTATCTGCAAACTTTTCACATTCCCTCAAAACTCCAATAACCTTCAGGGCTAAAACCTGAGGGGTCAACGTTCGCTTTAACATCGTGAGCATGACAGTGACAGAGCTGACCAGAACGTTTTCATGGCTACAATCTAACCTTCCTGGTGTCCTGACAAAGATATCCAGCAGGCAAAGTGGCAGCCACGGGCAACTGGAACTCCAACGACTGCATCCTCCCATCTTTAAGCAAAGGCATCCAGGAGTAGCCCACTGAAACATGCAAAAGCAGCCGAGCTTTAGAAGAAGGCATTTTAACAAGCTAAATAATGTGCTCACCAACATTTTAATAAAGCTTCATTAAGCCAAATTGCTCACCAAGTGACTCCACTCCGTCCCTCTTCTTGCTGCTGGCTTTGCTGCTGGATTCACAGCTGATGTGGTAAAAGGTGAAGAGGATATGATGTTTCTCATGCACGTGAACCGGCAGCTCGATCTTCACCTGCACACACAGAGGAGCAGGTCGCTGTTTTAATCTTCATATGTCACCATCAGTTCAATCTTCACACATAAACGATTATGTTTAGATTAGAGGCACTGATTCCAATAATGGATACCATATAGGTATTACATAGCACTGCCAAGGCAACATTTTAAAGGATGTGCCACATGCTGTGATTTCCTTGTTGTCTTTTTTGATGTTTTTTTGCTCAAATTAAGGGGGTTACATTAACCATAATGGCGTTAGTGTTTCTCTAAACCTGCAAAAATGTACTGACAGTGAGGGTTTCCTTCAGCCTCTAAATTATTAAGAGGTAAAATTAACATAAAATCAACAAAAGGCATCTAAAAATAACCATCTTGTGTATTTTCAGGTATCTGTACTTTACTTGAGTAGCTTTTTTGGACTACTTTTCATTTTTACTCCCTACATTTTTAAACAAATATCTGTAGTTTCTATTCCTGACATTTTCATAACAGACTTGTTACTTCAGCAGTATCATCTATAGAGTTGGGAGTTAAAGTGGGCGCAGGTGAGTGCAGGTGTAAGTTGTGATAGCAGTACTTCAGAATCTAGCTTGCGCTGCAGAACAGGTCATTTTAAATGCAACGCTTCTACCAGTTCAGCGAACATCAGCAAACACACAGTGTGTTACAAGCTACAGGTCCACCTGCTGGATTTCACAGGGAGAGAAGAAAGAGAGCCAGCTTCACTCAGAGATGGAGAAGGATAAGAAAGAAAAAGTCAGAGTTAGGTTACATCAAGTGTAGCAGAGATTCGTTTGCATTTAAGCTGATGAAGATTAGATTCATGCACTGAATTCCAACTTTATACCAACTGTGTTCTGTCTGGTATAAAGTCAGGATAAACAGTGTCAGTGTAAGGGACGGACATCTGCCACAGTGAAACTGCTGACATCTTGTTGAATTCAGTTGTTGTTTCACTGCATCTAATTACATTTACTAAAATTAGAATTTAAATTTGAATAATATGTACTAATATTATGATATTATTATATTAATATCGGTTCAGTTACCTTTGTATGAAAGTTGTTAGTAGAACTTCAAAGAGCTACTTTCTTACTGTGAGTACATTTCAGAGCCTGTACTTTGACACTTTTACTTGAGTAAAAAAGTTGAACATCAATGAAAGTGATATTTTTTAGATGGCGAAAGGCTAACAGCATTGTTTTGGAGTAAATGTCACACACTAAAGATGTCAAATCACCTTCTACAGAGAACGACACATGTACTGAAGCAGAAACTGGAGCTGTTTGGAGACGTTTGGGATGCTTTTGTAGTGTAACAGTTCTCTTTTTGAGTGTTTCTGGCATGAATTTGAACACTTTGTGCATTTTCTCTCCATGAAGAAAATGAAAGGGGTTTGCTTGTGCTTTTTTATTTATGTGTTTATCCTTAAATTAATGTTTAGAATGAAATCAAAAAAACAAACAACAGCAAAAGCATTGTTTCATCTGGGAGTTGCTGCTATGACACTGAGACACCAGAGGGCAGCAACAACAGGGAGATGGATTTTCCCTGCAACCACACATGCTGTTTTTTATTGGCAGGAAATGACACAAAAAAGTTTTGATGACATGCACAGACCCACATCGTCATAAACAGCCTGTCAATGCCATGACTGAATATCACGGCTCTTACATTTATAACACCAGAACACGTGATTCATGCATCGTTCTGTTTTAAATTTACTCTTGTCAGTAAATTAGACAAAAGTCTAAAGACCAGACAAGATATATCCTTAAGATATAAAAGTTAACAAATTTTAGGTGTGAAAAACAAAATCAGAACCCTTTATATAATATCAGTAACTATAAATGTGTCCAACATGTTGCTTTTAAATGCACTTCACTATGGAACTAACAAGACTGACAGATTTAGAAGCACAAAGATCATCGTTGCTTTGCTGAAGCAGAAATTTTGGTTGATGTGACTGGAAGCTGAACAATGTGAAGGGAAATCCCACAGAGTGCACTTCTGTGTGTTCCTGCATGCATGTGGGTGCACACAGGGGGAGCTTAAGATCCTAATCCGTTTGATATCAAGGCCATATGGACCCCCTCTGCTCTACCGCTCTAACTGTACCTCTCTCGCTGAGCTGTGTTTGTGTGTGTGTGCATGTGCATGCGTGCACTGACTGTCGGGTCAGTTTAGTGCGAGATCACAGCCCATTCCTGAGACAGATTTATGGGATTATCTCAGTGCTGCTGAGGAATGTCAGTACTAAAGACGGCCAATTAGGAAAAAAAAAAAAAGATTTAAGGGCATAAACTAAATTTCTTTTTAAAATCAAACTCATTTCTCAGTTTTTGGAAGCACTCAACTTCCTCTAAATCTGCTAACTTGATCTAATTTAATATGAATTGAAAGGCGATGCCATAGAAGACATAAGGTCAAGCCTGCAACATGAGCTCACCTCATCGTAGAAGTCAGGGCTCTGATTGTGGTGCAGGACGGCTGCGTAGGTGCTGCTGGTGAAGAGTGAATCTCCCGGCTTGCCGTAGATGCACTGAAAGGCAAAGAGGCACATTGGTTATTGGACTCCTTTGATTTTACGGGCACAGTGATGAGTAAGCGCTCGGGAAGCTGTGGTTACTGCCATAATTTGTACAAAAGGCGAGGGAGTGAGCAAGCCTGTATGGATCATGCATTACACTTTGAATCAGCAATGATTTAAACATAGCCTGAGAGAAACTACAAAGGACGACCTAAGATCGCAAAATGTTTGGGCTCTGACTAGACAGATGCCACAGCGTGACAATTTCTATGGGTTTTCGAACCTTGCACAAAACTCACGGACTTATTTTATGTGAGCAGCAGAGCCCTTCCTCCAGAACATGATGACACAAACAAGTCAATTCAATTCAATAAATGACAACAACAGTTGTCTCGAGGGCTGCTTCATATTGTCAGGTAAAGACCCTACAACAATAGAGGGTCTTTTATTGGGTTCTCTAATAATAGAGATCCCACCCCGTTTCCATGAGCAAGCATTTGGTAACAGTGGGAAGGAAAAACTCCCCTTTAACAGGAAGAACCCTTTGGCAGGACGAGGCTCAGGGTGTGGCAGCGAACTGTCACGACCGCTTTAAGGTGACTTTTGACCTCTGATGATCACTTTTGAGGAGGAGTCAGTGCAAGAACTCTGTGGGAAAAATAAAAAAATCGTAACAAGCTCAAGCTTGACCAGGTCAGGATGTTTCTAATGAGGGGTGACAAAAGGGAGGGAAAAAATTCCAACCTCTTGTGATGGCTTCATACTGTAATTAGGATGCTAACTATTGTTGTCATCTCTAATGAGCATGAATGTGCAGTGCTAGCCAACAGGACGGACAGAGCTACAGGAGCCAAATGCCTGAAAGCCTCCGCAGGAGACGAGCCCAGAGGATGGGAGAGGCTTCGTGAGAGAGGACAGGGTTCACAAATCCCAGAACAATCTGGAAACAAGCTGTAGGTGGAGCAGGAAAGAGGCGGGGGGAAAGATCTGAGATCCAGGAGTGCAGGTGGTGCATGGTTTGATGTGTACCTTTAGAGCCCTCACTGCAGAGGCAAAGAGGCTGATGGGAGTTACGATTGTCTGAGTCAGGATGGGGGCCGAAGGAGGTCTGGAGGAGCTGCTTCTGATATTATCTATCACAAAGGCTGGCATGTTAGCACATGAACTGTACCACACATGACTTAAAGTGTCGGCCACTGGTGCAAAAATGAGAGCACTCCAACCATGAACTCAAGGAGCAACTGGTCTCTCAACGATGAAATGGAAATGAGAATTCCATCCTCTTCAGCCCTCACATTCCGACTCCATAAGGCTTTGAATGAATTTCCTCTCAGTCCGGCTGTGTCTTATGTAAACCCCAGGACCTTACTGAGCTTCCGCTAACTCTGATTAAATCTCCCGAGAGGTGTGCCGCCTGCTCCTGTTTGTAAACAGCTTTCTGCCTCACAGTACTTTGAGCGTTGTCTGGAACGCAGTCTGACCCACGTCTGGGTCAATCTGTGTGTTTTCTAGCTGCGGTGTAATATGTCTGACTGCCCGCTGATTGAAAATTCTCAATGTTTTCGTGGTTGAACTCAGAATTTCTGTTTCTCTCCCTCAAGAAACGTGAAAAGAAAAACAATCTGCAGCGCTTTGATGACTATTTCCGACCACAAATATTTGAAATGTGTGGCCAGAGAGAAAAAGAGTGACCATTCATTATCTTCTGTTGCCAGCTATAATAACTGGTTGCTGCGAGCGCTTCCCTTCTCCTCCTGGGCCCCTCAGCTGCAATCTCAAGTCCACTTTGTAAAAAGCAATAAAAGGAAAAGTTTATCATATCTGAGGCCCCTGTCACTGATCGAATCTCTCCCAGGACATTCCACTGCAGTGTTATTGTTGCTCAAACAATAATCCGGGCTTCTGGTGCGCCTCTTCAACAATCTTCACTTTTTTGTATCCGTCTTCCTCTATTTGCTTCCTTGTGTCCTTTTTATCGTTATGTTGACTGTAGCATTTCAAAACCTTTTCTATGTTCTTCTCTCCATTATCTTTGCTGAGCTATGTAGAGAGCCAGGATATCACCCTAAGCCTGTCTTTTGACAAAACTATGAGACACAGATGTGAGTCACTGTCTCTTCCATACATTGTTCCTTGTCTATAAACTCTCCTTTTCAAGCTCTAGAAGTAATGAGGCAAAAACAGATATTCCATATAAGACAAGAAAAATGATGTACAGAATAATGTCAAAAAAAAGCTTCAGGGTCTGTGAAACTGAAGCCGATGCATTCTTTCTGGCAGCCAGCAGAGGGGCGATTCCTGGCTGCAAAGAAGTGTATATTAGGGTGGGTTTAGATGATCGATTTTCTGATTAAAATCGATTTTAGCTTGAATAACACGATATCGATTCATTAAAATCCTGAATCGATTTTTAAATATAAATTTATTTCGCCCAAAACGACAGAATCTCAGGTTAAACCTCGCAAAATTTCGACAACCACCAAACACCAAATGAGAGCAGGTACACGGATTCTGCACAGCACATCAGAATCAGTGAGATGTCAGGTTTCTCACCCGACGGCACGTACGCAGAGATGCCATCGGGGCTAAAGCTCACAGATTCTGATGCGTTGGCGCGTCCGTGCTTTGTGTTTACATCTTTTTTTTGCACTAGACTCTGAAGCTGCAGTTTTGTCTGTCTCCAAACAAAACTGACTGAACCAGCAGCAAAAGAAGATCCAAACTACGCTTCACATTTCGCTTCTCATAAACATCCTCATGAATTCCCTCTTACTTTTGCTCTTTTGCTTCCACCACGATATAATGAAACTTCCTGCACAACTCTCTCTCTCCCTCTGTACTTTAAGAACACTTTCGCATCTAAAAATCTGTTTTCTGCATCATTCGCTTGCTTATTACGCACCAGTCTACCGTTATGTACAGCGCTGTCGGCCACTTAATTTAACTGACTTCTGACAACAAAGCCTCATTTCTGCTGTTCACTGAAGAAAATTAAACTTCTTAAAATGATGCCAAATTGCAAAACACTTTGCTGTGCCTCTAATAAAACCTCTGCAACTCTTTAACCTCTGTAACAGGCCAGGAAAATCTCTGTCATATTTTTCTGTGTTTTGTCCTCAGCTACTTTGACATAAAGGCACCTGCTGTGATGCTCACACCTCTGATAAAGTCTCACAAGTGTCAGCTTTCTTTTTATAGACATAAAAATATGGATATGTACTGATAAATGATCAGAATTATAATATTTCTGACAGTCTGAGGCAAAATTTCCCCGATTCAAATCGAATCTGATCACATCGAATCGGGACCTTGTGAATCTGAATCAAAATAAGTGACGATACCGAGCCCCAGTGCATATAAACGTCTCTGAAAAAACAGACATCCGTTGATCTTTGAGCTCACAAACAACTTTCCTGATGAGTTTATGGTCTCAGCCGCTAGCTTGAAATCTTATTTCATACAGCACAATGTTCATTTTGTAAACAACAGTCTCCACAAAGGTAAAAAAGATGGCAAAACAGGGTTTGAATTAGAGTGGGCCTACCTTGTAAGTAATTCACTTCAGTTTTGTTTATATACAACAACAAATCACAAAAAAGTTGCCTCAAAGCATTCTGTATTATACGCTTCAATGAAAGAGTGAAACCCCCAACAATCAAACGACCCCCCCGTGAGTGAGCGTTTGGCAAAAGTGGGAACAAAAACTCCAGTTTAACAGGAAGAAACTTCCAGCAGAACCAGTCTCAGGGAGGGGCAGCTATCTGCCGTGACCCCAGCTGACCCTATTAGGCTTATAAATTATTAGTGTGCAGCGTCCTTTCATTCATCCACAAGATATGCAAATTACTCATCACATCCAGTTTTACAACAGCCAGGTGGCAACAGTAACAATACTCTGAGGCTTCACAGCAGCTCTTTGCTAGCAACGGCTGACGTCACAGTGGCTGCTTCTCTGTCCTATATATGGCTGCCAGCAGTGATTTAATGTTGCACTTGGTTAATGCATTTCTGACCATCTGCTATATATAACAGAAACAGTGGGAACAGCAAGGTCATATAGGTGCAGAACTTCTCAAACACACTGGACAGATTGCATGAACATGTAGCGATGAGTCCGCTCCAACCCCCAGCCACTGCTACACATCTGGTTATAAATTCATACATCAATATATCATGTCAATGATAGTCTGAAGACAATCACAGTTTATTGGTAAACCTGAAAAATGTTTGACCTTTATCATAACAGCATCTAGAAAAAGTCACATGTTGCAGTACACACTGACCTTTAGAGGAGCAGCACCTTCCTCATCAGAATCTCGGAACTGGATGCAGATGGCAATGTTTCTAGCCTGCAACGGAGGAAAGGTGACATTAGTCAGCCAAGCAGACGATCAGTAAGAACGACTGTGTCTCTGAGCTCGGTCACGCACGCTTCGTTCTCAGTATGCACCAGTAACACACAAACGGGCAATATTTAAAATGTACCACCATCATCACCCATCACATCTTTTTCATCCTAACTCTCGCACCTTAGTGAAGGTCTTCTGGTTGTCATATTTGAGCTGCAGGGGGTAGACATACAGCTGGTTCTTGTAAGTGGTGAAGGGGTAGTTGTACTTGGCTTCCTCGGGGAGGAATTCCTCGATCTCCACCGACACCCGCTCACAGCCGTCCTCGAAGGGCTTGACGGGAATGTAAGAGGACGTCACCGTGTCTGGGGCACAGAGCACACGTCGAGTCAGAGGACCAAACCTCCACTGCTGTGTCCCTGCCTCTCGTGTCATGTCAGTTAACGTCATTTCTGAGCTACAAAACAAACCCTTCACTGTGCAAACCCAGACATGAAACCTGACGCTGCCTACACGCCGTGTCACATGCTCTCTGTGGGAATCATTGCATCTGATAATACGGATGATCTAAAAATTTAACTTCTCAAAAGTTCTCAGATTTAACAAAATTTTAATTCAGGAATATTTGATTCTGTTGTTCTTCAAAGAACATGCTAACAAGGCTTTTACAAGGCAGCATCCAGCATGCTAATAGCCCAGTCTGATCGCTCTTAGTGGAAATCTGAAGGAACACAGTGTCTGCTCCAACCTGTGCTTGTGCGATTTTTGCTTTAGCGTCCCACCCTGCGGCTGTTTCAGCAGAACTACGGACACACTGGCTTAATAGTTCAGGCTTTATGGATCAGAAAGTGGCTAAATTATCATTTATGTCTCCTATTGAACATCACTGGGATATACTAGGCTGATCAGAGGCAGTGACCACTGCATATCTGCAGGCTACATTCATTCAGGAATGGAGATCATTTCCTCAACATCAGACCCAGACACTCGACAGACAGGTAGCTGCTTGCATCCCATGCAGAGATGGCCAATGTAAAATCATTTAATGGAATTGTTGGGTTTTATGCAGTGAACACCACAAAGCTGCTTACTTGAGAAATCAGGCGGGACACACTCGATGGTGACGTTCAGCTGTCCAGGGATGATCTGAAGTTTGCTTTTCTCTGGTCTGACAGGGAAAAGAAGATTCAGTACACGATCAGTGTCCTTTTAAGGGTTAAGTGTGCTTTAGATGTGATGACCTCCCTAATGACAATCCTGGGTGAGTAGTACTTCCTCTTAGGCAATGGCATGTGAAATATAGACCTAAAGTCATAAGTGTACCCCTGGATGACGGTTTTGTGCCACAGTAACTAAGCGCTAGCTTAAATAGCAGAGGAGTGGTGTTGACTCACTTCCTGATGTCGGCCAGCAGCTTGATGAGGTCATCAGTCGAGATTTTGCTGCTGTCTTGGCGATAGAGAGGAGAAAACTTCCCATCCATATCCAGGCTGCCCTGAGCGTCTTTGAACACTTGCCTGCAACCACAACACACATGGTTCATTACAGTTCTCGCCTCATACGTGCAACCAAATACCAACATTTTAGTATAAAGTATAAAGTATGAAGTATAAAGGAATGTTTTGCTTTCACTGTTTAAAAACACTTGTTTTCTTCATGTGTTCTATTAAAGAGTTACTTGCTCCTGTACACAGACTCCCCTGCTTCCCTGTGTTTCTATATTTTTGTTGCTGTTGTTCTTCTTCCAGATTATAGTTTAGAACAGTTGTATGAAAGAGGCTTTTTGTCTTTGTGTGATCTCTACTGGATATTTGGATATATGTCGGTGGGTTCTAACATTTTTGAATGACGCCTGAAGTCCCTTAATCATTTTTCACACCATTTAGAAAAAGGTCTGACTTCTGTGTTGGCCTGGAGTATTTTTATAGCTCACAGCATTACCAGTTACATGTGAAAGCCTCCACTAGGCCTGGAGGCTTGGGGTGTGGATGAGGGTGGAGATGGGGGTGGGGATGAGGGTGGAGATGGGGGTGGGGCGTGAGGCTTGTAAAATCTGTCACAGATTCTAATTTCACGTCAAGACCGGACAGTTCCTGGAAGTTTTCTGTGCTGCTTTTCATTAGCTGCACTTCCAGCAGCAGCTAATAAAAAGCAGAACTGTCTGCTCTTCATTATGAATGTTGAATTTCCTAACTGGGATAACGTAATATAATGTTTATCAATATAATCCAGCTCAAACTAGATCAGCAAGCAAGTAAATGTTCTTTTACACGAACTTTATTTAACCTCAAAGTCAAGAAATTCCTAAACTTTTGGGGTCCAAAAAGTAAATATTATCTTATTTTCTCCCTCTATGACAAATAGATGAGGCTTTACACCTAATTGTATGATGTTATTATGCTGATGCCTTTGCACATGTTCACATGAGATCACATGAGTTGAATCAAAACAGATTATTTACAAGATTATGAGGTTTGACTCATGAATTATTTCTGTCTTACTTGGCAGCCCAAGCAAACGGCATCCTGTACTGGCCCAAGCGTTGGCACGTCTGCTTGGCAGCTTTGAGCACCTTCTGAGCAGTCTGAGGAGACACAGGAAAGACATCATCAAGTCAACACCGGAGCGGTTTCCACCGTCTCCTCCACGAGGTCAAAATCGATGGCAGCGTACCTTAGTGATGTCAGAGGTTTTCATGTATGGCTCAGCGCAGTGGGTGATGCCATTCTGTAACACCTTCTCCACACGGGCCACCAGGAAGATATCTGCATGGGGGTTAGTCACTGAAAAGATACCCTGCAAAAGAGAGGGAGAAATGAAGCAATCAAGACATGTGGTTGGGATTTGATTTGGCAGCTTTCGAGGGTCTTTTCTTAGAACGCTCTTCCGAGAAATCTGCTACTGTGAATGGAGAGGAGAGATGCCGAGTTCTATGGAGAGAAACTCTGACTACAGACGTGGCCAAAGTTTCAAATGACACGCCAACCTATCAGACTGCTCAACACGTTCTCACTCCCAAAGTCTGTTCACGGCTCTGTATGATCTCAGTGAAAACAGATATCCCTAACGTGGTCATGCCAGGAACACAGTTGTGGGCACAGAAGCTTGAACGGTTGCTGACTTCCTGTTTGGAAGGGTCATCCAATCAAGTGGTGTGTGTGAGAGAGGTAAAAGGAATTTAAAGGTGTGGAATAAAGCGCTGTATGAATGTGTGATAGTGTAAAAGTCACTCTTAAATTCATCACCTGCTTCTGTGTGAGATCGATTCAGGGGAAATGGTTGATGCTAAAGCTGTACAGGAAAACCACATGCTGCTCACACGTCTATTTATGGGCCAATGAGATGCGTCTGCATTTAAGCTTCCAAGTTCAAGTAAAGCAAACAAAGGCGACAGTAACTACAATCAGACTAAGCTATGCTGCTCGCACTGGTATGACTAATAAAAACTTCAATAGAAATTTCTGGAAATAGAAAAAAAGCATAAGTGACAAAACTGAATGACAGTACCAAGGAAGCAGCTGATTCAGATGCAGACATAACAATCTGGACATTACTAACACTTATCTTTAAGGAGGCTAGCATGCTGCCAGTCACACACACACACACACACACACACACACACACACACACACACACACACACACACACACACACACACACACAGAGCAGGGTTACACTCCAGGCCATAAGCCTGTCCATCCTCTGTCCTCATTCACAGCCCTTAAAACCACACACAGCTGCTTTTGCTTTCAGTTTTTGACGTTATTTGCTCCTCACCGCTCATCGTCAACCAGTTCTTACAGTGTGGTTAAAAAAAAGCTTGTAAATGCTCCATTTGGGCATTAAACTTTCCTCATAGTTCGTAAACAGTGTCACATCCTTTTTGTGCAAAGATAAACCATCTCACTGCTGAAAATGCTGAAACTCAAATGGGTAAGATTTGTGAGGGTCCAGAGGTTGTGGCGTCCTCCTGAGAGCTACTGCAGAGATGAGAGGTGAAGCCTGTGTCCTTGGAACACACCCAATGCACCTAAATTAAACTGCGGTCTGCAGACCTATAATAGCACACTAATCACAGAGGCAGGAGCCGCTCTGTTTGTATGCATATATTTGTGTGTACATGTGTGTTCTGCTGGTGCTGCACAGATGTTTCTGGCAGAGAAGTCCAAAAATGAAACTTTTTCATGCCTGTAGCTTTAAGGCGGCCCTGCTGCTGGTTTGCTGGCTGCAGAAATCCTGCGTTTGTCACTCTCTGCCCTGATTCATCCCCTCGTCTCTGAGCTTTTTCCTGCTTTTTGCTGCGCTGTTCATCAACTCGTTTCTCCCGTCATGGAAATGGAAAGTGAGCTTGTTTTATAACCGCTGCTGGTTTATACCAGGCACCGGCCCTGTTGAGTGACTTCATCGCTGCAACGGGCCAAGCGGCAAGAGGTAAAGAACAGGCCGTGTGTGCGCCGAACTCACAGCACCTGCAAATGTTTGCAGAAGGGCCTGAGCCAAGAGTAACGCTCACACATGCACATTATTTCTCCCCAAATAAACTCTAGACTTAAAATACTGCAAAACAAAGTGACAGGACATAAAGCTTACATCCCGAGGCCTGAGCTCACATCAGGAAGCAAAGTGATTCTGAAATCACTTGCAAATGTTCGCCGAATGAGCCGAACGGGATCCTTTCACAGTTCTTTAGGTCTGGTTGGGGACCAAAGGCTGGCTTGTGACACACTCAGCATGACAGTGGAGAAATGAATGAAAAAACAAAAAAGATCATGCACTGGCCAAAACAGCTAACTCACTGCACACACAGTGTCAGCAGTCCTGACTGAGGCCAGGACTGTGCTGGGCCAGCTGCAACCAATATGGCAGAGCTGAACCTATGTGACAGAACCAGATGAGAGCTCAACAGTGTGTAGACATTTTAAAGACTAAGCATGACAGAGGGCCGCCTCCAACCATCAACTTGGCTTAGAAAAGTGCAGAAAGTGATAAAAACAATGCAAGACAAATGATTTCTATAAATTCTAGCTCATAAAACCATCATTTTCTTGCGTCTGAGTCAGTCTCTCATTACTTTTTAGTTTCTGCATGCTTCTACCTGCTCTGTCGAAGGAGAGCGTTACTCAAAGACACGTTTTCCCTCTTCTCGTAAGAACGATCGACTCTTCATGTTTCAAAATGTCAGTTTATTAGGGTTTTTTCATATATTTCCTGTTATGGATTTCACATAATGACACCGTCATCTTTATAATTAAGGACAGCAGCTTAAGTTCAGATTGTTTTACTCTTCGCTCTGTGTGATGTCCGCCGCAATACGGTCATTAGGGAAGCCCCACCCAAATAAATTAACACTCATTTTCAGTGTATTCTATATATAAGCTAACTGACCATAGGTCACGTAAAACCAGAAGCAGAGTTCAGTCTCAGTTTCACATCAACTAAACCTGTAAAGCAGCAGGATGACAAACATGCCGGATCTCTTTTTAATAATCCAGCTCCAGCACCAAAGTTTTGCAAAGAGCACAAAATATTTTGTTTTCCACGCAGCAAGATTTGTGTGACCCAGTGTGACTCAGCTTTCACACCCAGGTCTGACTGTGTGACTCAGCTGCAGTCACTTTCTCTATCAGACACCTGTCTACATGCTATCATAGTTCCTACCTGAGTGGGGAAGCGCAGCAGAGCCTCTGACACCCTCTGAAGCAGCGGCAGGCCGTTTCCTTTCCCTGAGTCTCCGTTCACGAGGACTCCTCCCTGTCCCCCGTCCTTCACTCCACCACCGTCCGACTCAGATGAAGGAGACGCTTGAGCGGAGGTGTCGGTGAGCATCTCCCTGACAGATGGTGGATTGAGCTCAACGTGGAAGTCGGCCGAGATTTTGCAGCTCTTGGAGACATCGAAGAGAGCGAGGCTGATGAAGAACGGTTCCACCTGCGAGTCAGCAGAGGGGCGGTTACAGGCTGCAGTCCAGTACGTACCTTTATTACTTTACAACATTTCACTTTAGGACAAAATCTCAGAAATCAGGTCATATGACTCTTTAGTTTTAGCATGAATTAAGCAATCATGCACACTCTTCCCACCAGTAATGCAGCCTGCTAACATCAGCTAGCAACCTTTTGCCCAAATATGGTCACTTCTGGGTCCAACCAACATGCAAAGTTTTACTAAATACAACATGAGAGTCGTTTGTGTGACCTAATGAATACATTTATAATTATTATAATAGGATTCAATGGACAGGTTTAATCTGTTTAATCTGAAATAATCAAAATTCTAGATTCAGACAAAATATTTATGGATAAAAGTCTAAAAATATTTATATTCTCTCAGTGTGTGTCATCCTCAAGCACAAGCAAAAAGTTTTCTATTTTGGAAACCTGCAATTCCTGCACGATGGACAAAATCGCTCCATCCAGTGAACTTTAAAGCTGTCTGAGACCGCCGAGGGAAAGAAGGGATGGAAGAAGAGGAGGGAACGAGAGCGTGTGCTGCTTCCAAACCACAAATGAGTCAGATGATTTCTCCTGCCAGCCTTTCTAATGCATCAGCAAGCAGGAAAAGGAGGAGGGGGAGAAGTTGGTCTAGCTCTGTGTTTTATATCTAAAGCCCTGACAAAGGCCGAGCTCACATATGCTCAAAAATGCTACCTCACGCTACTGAAAGCTCCTCATCCGGCACACATTAAACATTTCTGCATGACCCTCCATGCCTCAGGCTTAAATAAAGAAAGATTTGTTTTAGTGCTAATGCAACAATATCGAGTTGCGTTATCCTAGTTTGGCTACTTCCGTTGCTTCCAGCCAGACTGACATGAATTATGAAGGTGTATTATGTGGGGCAGCACTACAGAGGGAGAGGCTGGCGGAAAATCTGCAGTGTGAAGAGGAAAGCTACGTATTGCAGTTAAGAAACGTATCCTCAGGTTCAGGATGTAATTCACTGTCAAAGCCATAGATTTCAACCTGGCGACATACCTTTAGAAGGAGTAGTGATGTACTCTGTTGAACATGAGTCTTAATCTATAACGAGCCATTATGCTACCTCACAGTCTCAGCACGAAGAGATAATACCTGGTTTCAACTCTCTTCAGCTCTCGATGCTTTAAAGAGCAGGTAGATGGAGCGACTGTGCTCAAAGCCATCCTATTTAAAACTGCGGCCATGATTCATCTTTTTTTTACCTGTTTAATGTAACAGTAGCACAAGTAGCAAACCACAGAACAGCTGTGTTGTGGAACAAAGGTGATGACATACATTGGTAAGGACACCGTCGCCCTTCTCATTCACGCAGCCCTGCAGACTGAAGGTGAGGTCGTGGCAGCTGACCACTATACGACGACCAAAACGCTCCTCGAAGGGCTTCACGTCTGGCTCGATCCCAGAGAAGTCCAGCCTCTGGATATCAGGGAGGAGGAGAGTGAGAAAGCAGGAGAGGGGCAAGAGTGGTCCAGCGGAGAGGAGGGAGGATGAGCGTGAGGAGTTGGAAGGGGGAGGAGAGATCAAACAGGGTGAATCAATAGTGAAATAAATAAATCATAGGAAAGCTAAGCATTTTAAAGGAATAACCTTTTGTACCTGTGTCTCAGGATCCAGAGAGGAGAGCTTCAGCCTGCCTTCGTTCCTGTTCATCTTACTGAGCTGGTCTGTCTCCCTGGTGTACTGCAGACAGACAGCAGCGATGTAAGCGAGCTAAAAATCCATCAGGTGTTTCTTTCTTCTCTTTTTTTAACTGCAGAATTTTTTCTCCCATGAATTTATTTATCTATACAAACAAATGGTGTAAATTTGAAAACCTACATCGCCTCGTTCTCGAGGTATCGAGTTCACAAAGTTGCGCTGGAGTGATGACAACAATACCCCAATCACCCTTTCAGGCTGAGGGACAAACCACACAACAAACATGAAGAAACTGTTTCCACAACAAACAGCATTCCCATCTGTTTCTGTTTGATCCACGTCCCCGCCAAAACTCTAAATTAAAATATTCAATGCCTTCATGGGCCCTGGCCTCCTCAGGACTCCCCGAGTTATCATAACGAACTGCTTAACACTTGAAGCAGACATAAACAGGAAGTTATCAACTGATGATATGTTTTAGAGATAAAAGACAAAGTCTGGCTTTTTTTTTTTACTTTTTTTTTACATAAATATCCAAAATATGTATATTACTCTCACATTTTAAGAAAAAAATCTGTAACTATCTCTGATACCTTTTGTGAACTCTTCTAACACATTAAACAGTAGCACTTCAGCCGCTGCGTTCCTTCTCTTTTATTTGCACGCTTTATTGCAACAGATCTTTATAGCTTATTTGCATGGACTTCATTTAAGAATGAGGCAGCAACCGCAGGTAGAAGAGCAGCCCTTACTGTAATGGTCCGGTACAGTGTACTCAGTGCGCTGCTTGTAAACTTACACAAACAGAAAAAGACAGAGGAAGGTTGCTATGTAGTCAAGGGACAAAAGGGGGGAAACAAAGGGCGTCCAATGGAGCCCAATCAAAGCCTCAGGTTTAGGTAAGAGCCCTCAGAGTCCATTTCTCTCCCCTCTCTTCCTCCTGTTCGCGCCTCTGTTCTCACTGTCTGCTCAGCCTGCAGACAAACTCGACCTTGTTTTTACGTGCACAGAGAAAAGCTTTGCTGCAGTGGCCCAAAGCAAACAGAGTGGAACAGCAGCAACAGAGGGCTTTGTTGCTGCTGTGTAGTTTGGGGTTTATAGACACATCAGAGCGGCTCTGTCTGAGCACCACAAATAAAAGAGACGCTGAACTTGTTCTGCTTCCGATTCATTTTTTAGATAATGTCTCATTTAAATCATCTCATATGCTTTCTTATTATGTCATTTACTAAAGCGCCACAGTGTGATTTAACAAACCACTGATCTGTATTCAGGATTATGCATCTGTAGCTGTAGCCCACAGGTGGCTGTGAGTCAGACTGTTCTCCTTTGATTTTTGCAGATATCTGCAGCATCACAAAGAACACATGCAAAAACGAGATGTACATTTAGTTGAATTTAATGCCTTAAAGTTTGCTCACTTCTTTTTTTTAGTTGTTTTATGTTATGCTAAAGGTTGATAGGGTGACAAACCCCCTTTAGTTTCTAATGGAGGACTTCACCCGTATATTTTAACACATGCACGGCTGTTTGCAGAGAGCAGCTCTGTGTAGAATTTGCTGATGGTTACTGAAAAGACCCGTCTGGGTCTGTGTTCATAAATTAGTGCGGTGTTAATAGCCACAGAACTTTCCACTCCCTTCAGCACATTTCTGCAGCTTCACACTAATTTGACCCACTTGGTAAGTCTGGCCCAACTAACGCAGCTTCATTAATCATCTATCATTCCTTCATACCTTGATGAGTTCAGTGTGCAAGCTCCTCCCCGAGTTCTCCAGCATGCTCTCGCCTTTACCTTGGCTGGCCGTGTCATCATCTGAGAGGAAAAGGACAATAACCAGACATCAGTACATGTAATCCACATGAATGCCTGTTCACCAAGAACCATGCACACTACAAGTCCCTATAAAGCTTCCCTCCCTTAATGCTAATACTTCTTTTGTTCTCCACTTATCTAGTTTCCTCAGTTTTCTTTCTTTCCACACCATTCAGTAATATCAGAATCAGAATACTTTATTAATCCCTAAGGAAATTATATTATGCCAAGTTTTTGGCTAATAGCTCTTTTGATATCATCTTGGTTCAAAACTAGTATTTTATGCCTGTCAGCGTGTTATCTTTGGCACTTCTCGTAGATTTAACAAAACAAATGGGAATACATTTGTTGTTTTTGCAACAAAGTGCCTAAAGATACAATTTTAAAATGTTTATTTCCCTCTGTCTGCTCTATGTAGACACATTTACTTATCCTAAGTGTCTTTTTTATGGTTGATCGATTCACACGTCCGTGTAAATGACTTAGCAAAAAAAATACTCCTCTGACAATGTTCAGGATTGAGTCCAAGAAAGACTTTGAAGGACCTTCAGAAAGTCTTGAGAACCATTATTCAAGTCCACTTGAATAGAAGTGAGCGGTGGCTCAAGGTTGTTGCACTGTCCTGTATAAACAAACTCCATTGTTCCTCAGTTAGCTGATATACTAGCATGTTATTGTCTCAGGGGCTACAGGTGAAGGAGTCCGCCTGCTAATTGCATATGTGTGACTGTAACGTGGAAACCAATGGAAAAAAACATGATAGGCCCGTGGTTAGAATCAGTGTTTAAAGTAAGCTGACTATGAAACTATAGAAACCTTTAAATAAGACTATAAGTACTATGTTGACTGAAAGATAATGTAGACATGTAACTGCTCAAAGTTTGGTAGAACAGCTCACCAAGGACACAGTCCAGCGACTCAGCACCGTTCCTCCTGTCCTGGCCAGCCTCTGTGCTGCTCTGCAGAGCCTGTTTCAGTGTGGCCACCCATTCCTCCATCTCTGCCTCACTGTCTGCAGCCAGGAAGTGGCTATAGCGGTCTTGCATCTTAAGCTCAAAGCCATTCCGCCGCATCTTGGGACTCTGAGGAAGAAAGATCATTTTTGACTGATTTTTGACTAACAGGTGGAAACTGATGAGAATTACAGGATCTTTGGTACAACTAAATAAGCCGTTAAAAGCACGGCGTAGGGAATCAAATGTAATCAGAAGAATCTCAACTTAAATTCAGAAACAAACTGAGAGTCAATGCTATTCGGCCATGACCAAACAAAACCTGATTTCCATGCTAAACTCAAGCTTCCTCATTAAATCCATGAGCCAGAATGAACTCCCTCACTCCCCCCATTCATATTCTGAGCGTGCTCATTAAACTGAAAGCTTCCTGGCTGCTTTCTCAGCCAGGTCAGCTCTGCCTGAGGAGCAATCAAGGTACTAGGCTGTGCCATGAGCCAGCAACAGCTCTTCATAATCTGCTAGAAGCTGACGTTTCTGCCCAAGTCACTGGAATGCAGCAGATCTGCCCAATTAAAGCAGCCAAAAGCCCCCAAGGGAAAGTAAGACACAGAAACACACTGAATTTCACGAGGGTGGGAGCTCACGCCAAGTTCTGAAACCTCGCAGAGAGCGCACGAGGGAAATAAACACAGTGAGTTTAATTAAGCACACCAACATGGTCACAACAGAGAAAACAGCTTTATCCACTGCTGCTGGGATCCTAATTGTACTGAGTCTACCTGGATGACATCTATACAGGAGTCCAGGTAGATGGATCCTTTGGTTTCCTTGCAGTTTTTCTCATCCTTATAAGAGTTGAGGATGTAGGAGCCATCAGGGAGCTGAGACAAGTAGAAGTACCTCCTCTTGAACACCTGCAATCCAGAGCACATCTCATATGACTCATCTGACAACTCATGACAGCAGAAATATGACACTATGACATGTGACTTCAAGCTCATGTGCTGCCTTCCTAATGTAGTTAAAATTCCAGAATGAAGGGCAGATACACTGGATACTGCAAGTTATACAGCTGTGTCTTTCAGCAACAGCCTTTTGTTGTTACTGTCCCAACTTTGGAGATGAGTTGCTGTTATCAAATTCCAAATTAGCAAATATTATTCTTAAAATGGTACAGTTTGTCAGTTCCAACAGTTTATATACTTTCACTATCTGAGACCATATCCTCATTTAGGTTAGACAGCATTTCTAGTAGATAATGGCAGACAGCTTGTACACAAATTAAGGATGCGGTTTGGGGAAAGCCTCAGAGTATTTCTCATGTATTAATGAGAAGTGAATGAATTGAAAAAGAGAGGGAGGGGCACCAAAAAGAGAACAAACAGGGGTTGTATGTAGAGAGAGAACTGGAATGGGCATGCATCGAAGCATGGTCCCAGTCCTTAAATTCATATAAATTATCTCCAACTCTGTGTTCCTTTGTTCATAAATGACAGATTCATGTGCAAATCATTACAGTCTGTTTTTATTTACATTTTACATACCACCCCAACATTTTCACAATTGGGTTTGTATGTTTCTCATGGCGCTACGTCTCATATGTTGCATGCTGAACTTGTTTGCACGATCCTGGACATTCAAAACATTCTCAGTTCAATTCAGTTTAACTTTATCCATATAGCACTGGTTCACAGTAGCAGCAATTTCACTGGGAAAGTAAAATGATGTGGGCTGATTATTCAGGACTGTGAAAGTGAGGGTTTATGCTGGGTGGGACGGTGTTACAGGATAAAGTCACGTACATCGATGCAGCTTTAACGGTGTATCATTTTTCCAGCATTACAAATTGCAGCTGCAGCTACGCTCCTATTCTGACCTATACATGCTTGTGTTGTTTCACTTGTTGCTGTTATGCTGTGATAACAGACAGGAGGTCTGGTGCTGACTCACCCTCATGGAGACAGACAGGCTGCTATTGATGTTGGCTTTCTGAAGCCAGCCCTGCTTCAAGATGCCTCCCCTCTGGGAGCACAGCGATGCCGAGTCCTGACACACAAACACAAACACTTGGCAATCAGCAAAGACGGATTTCATTACTGCGGTCAACTCACGTTAATGTCGTTGTTTGTAGTATTTTCTGCCATGAAGAAACAATTATTTTTTCCTGTGGTTGTGAGAACTGTGTGTTAATTAGAGCAGAGCTGTATTAACTTTGTCAGTGAGAAAGCATGAACATAAATCAGTGTGTGGGGAGAATTTCTTTGGGATCCCATGAAGCAGTTCATCATAATTCAGGCTTTGTCCTGTCAGTGTAACATCTCCATCTCAACCAGTAAATATCATGGGACTGTTCATCACCACCACAGAAAACAAATCTGTTAGTGATCACGCTCATACACACAAATGCACACACACATAATGGTAATGCATCGGGCCACTCGAAGGAATACAACATGCAGAAATCATAACACAGAGCAAGAAGGGTTCTTGTACCTTCTCTGACACACAGCTCTCGCTGTCCTCCTGACAGCTGCGACTCAAGTCTATACCTGCTATTATCATCTACTGACTGAGTGCTATTAACCCATAAACTGACAGGTCTGTAAAAAGGTGCTACTATTCTTATCATCTTATCAAAACATGGATGCACAAAGATGCAGAGATAAAATAACAGACGCCTGAGCTGCCCTCCCTGTGCAGCCAGCAGAGCAGCAGCATTTACTTGCCTTCAGTTAAATTTCCTCTGTCTAAGTTTATCTGCATCCGGCCTGAGGGTAGCAGGGGGAGGAGGGTTGATGAGAGCTATTTATAGAAACTATAAGGGTTCTGGTTTCACTGGCCTGCAGTCGTCAGTCTAAGAAGGGGTCGAACAACAAGCCGGAACATGCAAGACACGGGTAATACCTGCTTCGCTGAGCAGAAGGCTTTGAAATTCTAAGCAAGATTTATAGAAGAGCACTAAAAGCTGTGCACGTGCACACGACACGATGTGTCCATAAAGGGCCCAGTGAGTCAATAGCCTATCATTCCGCCTCCCTGTAGGGAACGACGTCTGTGATCTAACCACGCTCAGGCCGCTCTACTCACCTCGTCTTTGGCGTCTTCATCGATTTCAAACACATGAGCTGGCAGTTTGTCCGTCTTCAGGCCTTTGCTTTAAAAACACAAAACAGAGGGTGAATGGATGAAGCTGGCCTTCTCCCCCTCTGCTGACAGCTACGTCACATATCTGGGTTCTTTATGTCTTTCTTGTTTGTAACGCTAGATCAGATTACAGCCTCCTTCATGTATTTTTTATGTTCAAAAATACTTCTCAAAATTCATGATTGCAGTGATAAAGTCATTTCCTCAGTAAGATTTATCACCATGGAAATAAATTCTTTACATCTGGACTGCACCTGCTGTGTGGAGGAACATCTGGCTGAACATCAGAGCTGCACTAACACATTGATCCAGCTGAGGAAATCCGCTGCATGTTACACATCTGGCTGTTTTACCTTATTTTAGCCTGTATGTTTTCCCATATATCCAAACTACATTTTCAGTTTATTCCACTCATTTCTGTCTCATGTTCCTTACCTCGGCAACATGCGGAAGTCTCCAGAATAAGCCTCGTATTTGTAGTTGATTACGTGCCAGTCAGTGTTGTACATCTTAATGCACTGCAGAACACAGAGAGCTGGATTAGCAGTGGATACGTTCAAATGGAAAAAGCGAGCCATACCAGCAAGCAGACCTTTTTTTAATGACTGTAAATGACGGAGGAGGATTTTGGGGTGACGAATCAACTTCGATCATTTTTCATGAACTCAAAATACAAGTCTGCAAAGCATCAGACACTTTTAAGTGGACTTTTTGTGTTTTTAATTCAGCATAGAACTGCAAGCAAAAAGTCTCCTGCAAGTCATCTGAATGGATCTTTGTTCAATAAATGCTGAGCAAGCCCAGGGTCTGTTTTAACTGCCCCTATGACAGTTGTTTCCGTGCTACATTGCAGTCATGACGGCTGGCAGATGAACACAGATTTAAAGCCTGGTAGAGCAGCAGTGTATGACTGCATCGTGCCAGAGAAGTCTGTTTTTCATTGCTAATACAATATTTCATCAGCGTAACACGTGTTTACGACTGGACGGTGAGTACTCCCGTTTCTTTATGAGCTCCCAAGGAACACGTCAGGGTCAGTATCATGCAGGCTGGTGTGAAATCATCAAGACACAGCCTGTTTTGTTGATCATTTTTACTCGTATTCTTTACTGAGCAGACTGCAATTAATGATATATATGATAATATAATGCAAAATAACTGTAGTACCTCTTTGGCAAACAGACTCCTAGCCTCCCGCTCGGCATTCTGGGGCACAGAGGGAACAACGGTCCTCCTCTGCCGGGAGATCTGAGACTCCTGTACGCATGCAAACACAAAATGAGCCACATGTGGATTCACATGCATGGTGCATGATGGAGATATTTCTCATAACATCAAACACGGGAAAAGAGAATGAGAGAAAACAGAAGACAAATATACGAAGAAACAAATTCTCTCAGTACGAAGGAGAAGAGTCGACACAAACAGATGCACCACTAGAACAAAACCACATGTGTCTGAAGCAACAGCAATAAATACCTGACTGGACCGTATGTGAGAGCTGGACTCAGCCGTGAATAACTGGGCCTAGTGTTTTGAGGATGTTCAGTGATTAATGATGGGAAAACGTCCTTTGGAAAGTAATAGTTCACAGCTCTTTGACTCGGACAGATTGGAAAAGCAGCTGATTTTGGCTGTTTACTGTGGAAATTTCAGCGCAGGTGCTTTGAGCGTAACATATTTGTAAAAGATCCATAAATCACAGGCCGTAGACGGAGACGGAGCCAAAGACAGAGGCAACATATGTGACGGGTTAAGCCCTGCACTAGTTTATATTGCGAATGAGCACTTCCTTTAACTTGAACCTTCTGGGAGAATACTAGTGTAACTCTTGAAATAACAGGAATGACTTGAGATTCAAAAAATTTACTTTAAAAAGTAACTATGTTCAAATCGTTACTTTTTAAAGTGCTACGACAGTAATTAATGTCATATTGTCCTTGGATTTTTGCTATTTTAACGGTGTAACGTGGTTTTGGGGCCCAAAACAGAGTTCAAGTTTAGCTAGCAATGGGCCACCTTGATAATAAGAAATAAACTGATAAGGATACTAAACTAAGAGCATAATAACAACTAAGCACATCACAATATTGTAGATCTAAAGCTTATATTCCATGTAGCACAATAAACAGAACTGTTGCAGATTACAGAAGAAATCTATACAAAATAACAGTTTAAACCTGTTATAAAAAACAGCTGACACATGGTTATTCTGTGAGAAACTGCAGGAAGGATGGCGTGGACTCACCGAGACATCATCCACAGGGCAGAGCAGCAGGTCTCTGTGGGGGTCACTGTGGATCTGAGCCTTTCTCTGAAACACCACAGCCTCATAGTCGAGCGGTTCAATGATCTTTGGCTGCTCCTGAAGGGGGAGGAAGGAAAGGACACCAACACATGTCATTTCAAATCAACTTTTTTTCTTCAGTGCACCAATTATGTTTGTCTTTTCTGTGGTTCTGGTGGGCCCTGCGCACCCCTGCTGTTTGAAAGCAGCTAATGAGTGTTCACCTCTGGAACTCCTCACCACCCATGCTTCAGCAGAGCCACAAGAGATTAAAGACACAACCACAAAGTTCAGAGGGCTGTCACAGTGCAGGAAAACAGCTGCTGGGAGAAATGTGGGCTGATGGGGGGGAAATAAAGCAAAAGATGACAAAAACGGAAGGAACTGAAGATAAAGTCTCAGGTAAGGGTAGCAAAGGCAACAACTTCATCGATTCATGAAGTCTGATAAAGCTTGACAGAGACATAATGAAACTAAAAAAAAGCAAGTTCAACCAAATACCACAACAAACTATCGCGACTTCCTGTTTTAAGTTTCATAGAGAAGTAGATGACAACAAATGGGCCTTTCCACGGTGTCTTAAAGAGGCATGCAGCCTCTGTTCACTGTAGCTTTCCACAACTGGGTCAGAATGTGATCTCACATATAAATCTAGCCCACTTGGAAGGATTGAAAATTAATTCCAACAAAGTTCCATTTTAAGCTCAAGTTAAGCAGAGAGAAAAGTGATGAAAAGCTTAGCCCGACAAGGCTCTGGCTCAGCGACACCACGCTGCTTGGAGGAAATCAGACTGTATGGATTTGATCAGCGTCTGTGCCCCATTAGTGAGCCGCTGCTACATAGTCTGATACACGCTTAGTGGGCAGACGCAGTGGGGAATCTAAGGAGCCGAGGCTGTAAAGAGCTGACTGAGCTCTGCAGCTGGAAGAGAATGACTGAGCGATTTTCCACCTTGTACTCTGTCATATTTCCATTCATGTAGCTGAGATTAGAGCTTTGTGCTTCTATTGCAACAGAAAGGCAGTAGTTTGGCTCCTGCTTGCCCCCCTCTCTCTTCACTTTAGGTTAAGCCTATCATTAGGATTGTTTACCTGTGCAATTATTCCGGCTGGATCCAAGCTCTCACATAGGCCTTTTGGAAATATCCACCTTTATGATCAAATATAGCATTCACCCGTTTGAAAGAGCCTTAAAACATATTTTGCTCACTTTGAAAAAATATATATGTCTTCAGCAACATCTCATATATTGCTATACACTCCCTATTTAGGCTGTATTTTTACAGTGTGTGAAAAAGTAAAGTTGAAGCTCAAAACCAAAATGCCAGCTGTTTTTTTGTATCGTTTCCTCAAATTTCTTCCTGACATATTGGATATTTTGGGGCATATTACAATTTTCGAAAGTGCGCTGGATTTAGACAAGTGCAGGCTTCTTCAGTTTAGTTAAGTAAAAAGTGTGGGACCACTTTGCACTTTGTTTATTTTTTGTTTTTTTAAAGAAAAGTGAAAAGGCAAAAAATAAGAGCTTTGCTTGTTTGCTTGTTCGAAGAGCTGAGCTCAGAAAATCCATCCAAATGTGTTCACAGATTTGCAGACTAGCTCTAACTAGAACAGAGGGGAAAGTGGGAGACCCCGAGGTAAGACTTGTAATAGATGACTCCAGGCTCAAATGATAACTTTATTTACTTTATTTTTAAAGAAACTAAAGATGATGCTCCAGACAAACAACTAGCTACATCCACTTTGGACAGGCTCCTGTTATACATGAGCGCTACTGAGACTCTATCACTGCAGCCAGCGTCACAAATCATCTGCTCCAGCTCTCCTAACACTTCCACGCTCTTACTTTGTACAGGTTTGCTTTACCTTAATCTTTTCCCCTTGTTTTGGGCCACAGTTTACACCTATTTATGAATGAATGTGTTACCCTACAGCTGATTGTGTGTCTGTATGCTGGAACATGTATTCTAATCTTTAACATTTGGCTTTTATTGATACCGTGAAGCACTTTGTAATTCTGTGTTTTGAAATTTGCTGTACAAATAAAGTTGTACAGAAATAATTTCAGATGTGCTAACACAGTCAGTTTGAGTTTTAACATGGTAATTATTGCCATTTTGATCAATTTTATTTCCTTTTAAACCAAAACAAATGCTTTTCGTTTTCTCCAAAACCCTAAATCTTCAAATCAGGGTGCATGTTTCAGGAGTGCATGTCGGCTTCTTGAATATGGTGGCATCTGTGCATGAGCCATAAATGAAGAGAAAGTTCTCCCTTTTCAAAGTAACCAGTAATTTAGCCTGTGAAAGAAGTGTGGTACATGTACATGTTCCTCCACAATTTTCCACCAGAGCCTGACTTTCTTGGCAGTCCACACAAACCCTGTGTCTCGCATTTTTTAAACCACTAATTTAAATAAAAACTTCCTGACCCTAATGGTACTTGTGCTATGTGGATTTAAGTATTTTCCTATTTATGCTGCTATGTAGCATCTGTGCTATCATTTTACATGCAGACCCAGCGGCAGCAAAACAACACCTACAAGTCTGGTAAAACCATTACATATGGCTGTGCACCGCCCCTGCACCCTACACAGCAGCTCTGCTTCCTGTCATGTGCAACAAGCCTGAACCGCAGCGCTACAAGTCAGAGGTGACAGGCTCGGCAGCACGCACTGCCTCCACTGCAACGGTGATCACGTTACAGACAGAAGGAGGGAGTAAGAGGAAGCAAGTTGTGAAGGAGCAAGTTCTGCTTTTACTGAAGAAGCTTTGCAGCCACAGGCGGTGTCACTGATTGAGAAACAGAGAGGCACAAAGAGAGCTGAAAACAATCAAAGGGATGTAGCGCAACACTTGGGTGTAGCTTGAAAGCAGTCAAGGCTCTTTAAACGGTTGCCACCTCCAATTAGGACACACACTCACTTCTCTCAGCTATCAGTGAGCTACATTCACTGAGTACAAAGCACAACTCCCAGCCCGCCTCCATAGGACTACAATGATGACGATGATGTTGGGCAGCATGCATTCCCAGATGTCTGTGTCCCATTATGGTTCTGCAGATGTAAGGCACTCGCGACTCCAACGTGACCGAGTGGATTTCATTACTTTTAAGAGGGGAGCTTACACAGTATATACACACACTGACATTAGAGTCACATACAGCATAAAGCAGCTCCACTGTCCCACAGCTGACCCCACTAAGTACTCCAATCTGTGTGTAAGTGAGACGCACAGACATACGTCTGCTTAATCTTTCTCTTACTTCCTGTCTCTTTAAAAAAACAAACAAACAACGACTTGATCTTTAATCTTTACTTAATCTAGAAAAAAAGCATATCTGTTCTTAGTTACACCTGTCTCTGTTCTCTGTTTTCTCCGTAATGTCATGGGTTACAGGATATCTGTAGAATTTATCAATAAATGAATCTATTTATTTATAGATTTCTGTATCGATTGTCTACAGAATATCTGACAACAATCCATGGAAACAAGATGCACTCAGGCATCTTGTTTTATTTAGATACCCTGATTATGACAAAGCTATATTTAAAATACCAATATGCCTCATATCACATGCCAGTACCAATTCTTTTGTTTTTTGTACAGTATTTCCCACACATAAAAACTTGCTAACGATTAAACTTGGAATTAGGAACAACTTTTAGGGATCTTTTCCTCCTTTTTTAGCCATCCACAATCGATTTATTTTGAAAGTTTAGTCACTGCCAATCAGCTAGGCCCGACTCTTCCCACTTTGTGTTTTCACTTATGACTGGTTCTCCAGTCTGACGGCTTTTGCGGCAGTGCTCGGTGTCATTTAGCCACTTTCCCACAGAGTCTATCACCCTGCAGTCAAATGGAGGCTAATTGCCAGCTGGCAATGGAAGTCTTTCTTTTGCTCCAGAGATCTGCTGGGAGCTGGCGTGCTGCTCTAACCTGCAGTCCGTGGGGAGCTAGCGGATATGCAGCAATGCTCCTATTGGGACTACCATCAGATGCACTCCAAGACCCTTAGAATGGGATCCATCTGAAGGATGATGCTCAGCTATTAATTTTCAATTTGACCAATCAAATATCTCTTTTTACGAGGGAAAAAAATTCCATTTATAAAATAGATTTAAAAAAAATCTCTTCACTCTTCAACAGATTAAATGGCCACTGACTTTGGAAAACGCTACCGTATTTGTAGAAACAATGACATGAGTCATCAACCCCCATATCTGCCAAAGCCGACATTCAGCCAATATATCGATGGCTTCCTGAGCCACTAGTCCAAAATCCAAAGATATTTCATTTTCACATTTAAAAAGCTGGATTCCAACATTTTTATAGCTACTTCCCACTTCCTTTATTTCCCCAGTGGGGCACTACAGCAGCTGGATCCTTATATTGGCCTTATTTTTTCATCCATTGCAACCCTCCCATTTACTCAGGCTTGCCACCAACACGTGGGACACACTACCTTCTGACCCCTGAGGCTGGGTTTATGACTCCTCCTGGTCTCAAACCAGGGGACTTTTGCATGAAAGGCAAATGTGTGAACCACAGACACACCACAGATACCAGCAACTCCCAGTGGCTGTTTTCTGAAATTATAAATCACTGTGTACTTGTTATCAGATTACCTGAGAACACACAGCAGGACTCACGTTTATCAAGTCAGATTAAATAACGCCAGAGACACCGGCACAACACAGAGCGGTAATCACACGGTTTCAATTTTAGGATTGGTACGTTATCATTGTCTAATTGGTTCAAAGCAATTTAATATAATAGAAAACAAAACACACACACAGATGTGGATTTGATAGCAGGACTTTCTAGGAACAGCAGGAAGCCCAATAACCACTAACACATCTCTAATGGGAATTTCCATGGAACACAGTTGGCTCGAGGCCAGACAAAAACCCACATGTTCTCCATTGTGTAGTTTCCTTTTAGTTTTTCTATGTTTTATGTCATATATAACACTGTGCAAAAATCTTTGGCTTCCAAGGATCCAGATTCTGTTGCATCTTTTAAACTGGTCTCGACCGATAGTTCTGCGAGCTTTCTGAAGATCCTTAAAGTCTTGATTTGGACCCTGGGTGCTTTTTGTTTGTTTGCTCCATTAACCCACATAACGCTGGCATATGAATCATTCAAGCATAAAACGGGTACCTAATCAGGGGATGTCTGCACAGACAGCTTAGCAAAGAGCCAATTTTAATGTTGGTAATTACAGCCTGTCGCAAAAACATAGAATTTGTTCCCATTTCTTTTGTTGAATCTATGAAAAATATCAAAGATGACACAAACATAAAACTGTAGTTTTTGTATGTCCATTCCAACAAAAGCCTATTAGCCAAAAAATTAGTTTGCAGTATGTCCTTAAAAAAATGAAGGAAAGTGAACAAATGAAGGATAAGCGAAAAAGTATCAGGACTAAAAAGCTTTTTACACCAGACGACCAGTATCTGAAAGTCATGTCCTTAAGAAACAGGAAGTCCTATGTCCTGTTTAGGACCTGAGAGACACATCTGGGCCTTCAGCTGATTAATCGACTGTTCGCTGAAACATCATCAGCAATGATCTCAATAGAAGAGGGACTGTCATGAAGCCACTCTTAGAGAAGGGAAATGGGGAGAAAAGGCTGGAGTACGTCAAATTACACAAGGCTCAAAATCAAACAAGCTGTGAAAACAGATCTTCTAAAGAGATGAGAAAAAGTCAGACGGCTTCAAAAGAAAAGTCCAATAGTGAGTTTTTACAGTCATGTGTAGTTTTATTCAACATTCTCCTTAGAAACTGATAAGATAGTTATTTTTTCCCTGTTGGGGCCCAGGAGTAGAGTCCTCTTCCTATAAGACCAACTCTCCTGAGACTAAGCTAAGAATGAATCCGCAGACACAGTCACAGAGGATGCATTGGTCACAGCATGCCCAAGGGAATCCCCATGTGAAATTAGCACAGGCCATGCACCCTCCACAAAACAGCATTTGTTCTCAGCTGCAGCCCAACCTTAAAACAGGAAACAGTAGACATACACACAGCCACACAACACTCTCACCTCTGTAAAAAGAAAAACAATCAGTGCCTTATCACAGGGTTTTTAAACTTGGAAGCGCCTTACATCACACAACTCAAGATGAGCATCATGAGACTGATCTCAAGGGGAACAAGAGTTTATCTCTTATCCAAACTAACCTAGAACTAAAAGGAAAAAGATGCAAGAAGCCGCAGTCACACAAACACAAAGCAGATGAGTTAGCAGATGCATTTTGTTAAAAGAAAAAAGAAAACAAGTCATTATTAGGCAAGCGTTAATGCTGCGCTGACATCACTGTGGTTTAACTTCAAGACAAATGTCACGCCTTCGATTTACTGTTATGAAAATCCTTCCCCTGACACACAAATGCTGCATCAGCAGGATACTAAACGCTGTTCATTTCAAGCCACTGCGCCTAATCCCAATGACAGCCACCAGCATCGACATTCATTCAAAGAACACCTTCTGCTTTGCACAACCATCGAGACAAATGTGATAAAAAGCAATTACGCAGACAGGCTTCTCTATGCACAATGTGAGCAATTTCCAGCAGAAACAGAGAGGCGAGCACTCACAGCCAGACACACACACACTGCTCCAAGGCAAGGACAGGGAAGCCATGCTGCTGCAGCTGTCCAACTGGCACTGCTCTTCATCCGCCAGCACACAAAAGGAGCCGCACAGAGCTGAGAAAGCGTGTGTGCTGGAGGACGCTGTCATTTTATTTATTTATTTCAAATAAAGGCCGTTTAGAAAAACCAAGCCACCACGTGGAGTGGATTTAAAGCATATACCTGCTCCCACAGTGACCCTGGTTTATAAGCCTTTGCACAGGTTGCAGCAGTGGCAGTTATGCAGACATACCAGGGCTTTACAGAAAGATGTAATAATGAGGACACGGACGGAGCGCGAAAACTCACAAAACAGACATAAAAGTCCAGGAAGAAGAGCAGCCACCTAGAAAGGAGGAATAGTCCGTATAGGCTTATCCTCCCCGGGGAGGGCAGAGTGGAGGGGGGTGGAGGGGGTCGGCTATGAGTTACATTATCCCTGGTGGCTAAAATGACCGGTTCACAGCCAGCCTTTAAAAAGCTCCGCTCACCACAAGGTCCACGGTGGTCCTCACAGCCTCCGACACGCTCTGTCTGACTTCCGCGGCCGTCCCGGGTTTGCTCAGCCTCTTTGTGAATTTTCGCACCTCAGACATTTCGCTCCCCTTTTAGATAAATAAAAATCCTCTTCCTCTTCTTCTTCCGATATGAGCATGCCGCGGTACCGGGCGGAGCGGCGGGCAGCGCTGTTTCCTGACAGCCAGATGTGAGACGGTGCTGGAGGTGAACCAGCCAGCGGTTCACGTCGCGAGGCGGGGCCGTTGCTGCTGGTGGTGCTGCCACCGCTGCTGCTGATGATGTTGGAAGGAGACCAAAGAGGGGCTGACAGCGTGAGATGCTTCACTCGGACCCACTTCCGTTTCTCCCGCCCCGGCGGAGAGCAGATTCAAAGATCGTCAGTGTGAGATGATAACACGGTCCACATACAAGGACTGCAAACACAGGTCGCATTTGGAGAGTTTATTACATTTTTAGCGTCACAGGTGGGCTTTTTAGGTATTACTTATTCTTGAAAAAAAGAAGCCTGAAATTTACATTACTAGGATAAGCGACAAAAACAAGTAGAAGTCCATAAATAAAATATCACAAAAACGAGATTTAATAAGTGATGTACAGAAAGGCACATTAACAATCAAGACTTCCAAAAACAAAAAACAAAACAAAATCAGTTTCAAAATATATGAGAAGCTTAAAGCTGTGTTTTGTTGTTTTAACTATTTATTGTGGAAATTAGAAATCACAGTGATTTATTGGTCATTAAAACGTATTCTGAATTTTCAAATTGATAATTATTCGTCTCATAAGTCAGCTCTACCAGCTATCTGTGCAACAATTTTCTTTTGAATCTTATAGAGGAGTTTGTTTTTGTTAATGATGTTTATCAAGACACACAAAAAGAACAAAAAAAGCGGTGCTCAGAAAAGGAAGGAAGGAGAGAAGAGATCAGGATGACTTTAGACTTTAGTGGTGTTATCAAGGGCTGTACTGAGTGCAAAGCTGAACAGATGAAATTCTGAGAGATGATTATAGAAGACTGAAACATAACCATTTCCCCTTCATCCAAATACAAACACACACACACAGAATGTGGTATAACGTGGGGGCAAGGGCCCAGAAAAATATCCTCCCCTGGCCCATCACAGAGTTGTTACGCCCATGGTTTGATGTCTGTATACGTTATGTTTCTGGTCACATCCACCCACTTAACAAGGGTACAGTGCCACAGCAAATTGTCTGTTTGTTTCTTTGTTTCTTTGAAAATTTGAACTTTGTGATGTTTAATCTTTAGTTTTTATTGTATATCCAACATACTGTCAGTGTGTCATCTATCTATCTATCTATCTATCTATCTATCTATCTATCTATCTATCTATCTATCTATCTATCTATCTATCTATCTGTTGATCAAACCTTTTGTTTCAGAGGGGCAGCCAATGGGAAGAAATTTGGTTTAAATGGAGGAGGAAGGGAGTTAAGAAGGGGTTGTGGCGAGGTCAGGAATAAAACAAGCAAGGACTATTTTGAACTGTGCAAAACTGCTCTATAAGAGTTAAAGAATGCCGGGAATAAATTAAGTATGTGTCCCCTTTATATATATTTATTAGAGCGCATCTTGTGACATCTGAAGTATTAGTACGCAGGAATTTGGCTCACTTGATGTCTTGGATTATAAAACATTGTTCCGAAGATGTGAAACAGGTTGTTTATCAGTTACTGAATCTCATCCTTCAGGTGCGATAGCTGGCTCCAGGTAAAGCTAATAGTACACTGCCACCCTGTGGACTATTCCACAAACTGCAGCAAACCAAGTGCCACCTGTAGTCTGCAGCGGTTCAGTTTTATGTTTGAATGTTCAGTTTAGCAGTGAGGGAGGGCGCTTGTTTCAGTTACAGTCTTTTTTAACTTTTTATTATAATATAAGGTAACTTTGTCAGGCATCGTTTAAGAGGTACAAAGCTATTTATGAGAGCAGCTGACTCACACTCATGTTAATGTCCCACTGCATGCACTTCAGTTTTCTTGTGCTGACAAAGTTTATATTTCATTTAGGATCAAGTGTTGACACATGAGCACCAGCCTGTATGAAAGGATGCCGTGTGCCTGTCAGGACCTGCAGTGAGAGAAGCCGTCAGCTCAAAGAAACAACAATATGAACACAGGCTGTTAGTAAGTTTAATAAATGAATTGAAAATTTATATTACATAGTTACATAAACTGTTAAAGGAAGACTTTTATCTTCAGACAACGTTGGACCGAGGCACTGAATAGATGCTTCACTCATGCTCTTCCACCTACAACTGACATGCACACTTTTCAGTGTCCATAAAGATGTATGAATTTCCACTAATAATAATAACAATAATGTCAATATTAGAAAGCAATCCAAAATGTTAATGTAGCCACATGAAAGATATAAGTTTATTGTAACAGTGCTTCTTATTCAAATGAATAGCTTTATTAATCTCTGCATTACTCAAACATGTGGAGGTCATGCAAACATTTTGTCCAGCAAATGTTTCGGAGTCAACTTAATGCGGATCTGGAATTTTTTGAAGGATTCTTTATGACTGCAGGGTGATTAAAAAAAAATAAAAAATGCAATTTTGCATCTTCTTGGCACAAATTAATATTCATGCCCTCATCATGATGATCTCAGCAAAGTATCAATAATTAAGCCAGATGAATCAATGGACTCAGCTCGTAGATGATGTCAAAGGACGTTGCAGCTCTGGCAGAGGGAAGAAGAATCAGACTGTTTCTGTTTTGAACATGTGTCAGCATCAGATACGCCCTTCACTTAGTCGTTATACTGGGTGAATTCTTTCAGTGCCCAGTTCTTCATCTCCATCTCCTGCCGTAATCTGCAGTACTCCTCGGCCAGCGCCTCAAAGTCTTTGCCCAAGATCTCGAAGGAGGCCAGCTTTAACTCGACAGACTGCTTTTCCGCTTTACACGCCTTCAGCTCAGACTCCAGCTTCTCCCTGAAAATGAGATCCGACGAGCTGGTTAGGTTTGGACAAAGGGATCAGTCAGAATGTAGCTTCAACAGAAGAATTTTAGTCTTGCCTTATTTTTCTGTGAGCAGAAATCGAGTCAGGCGTGTATGTATCCAGCTGGATTTCCACCATCTCCGCCCTTTAAAAATGAACATGAGAAACAGGAATGTGTGTATAGTTAATGCATCTCATTTTTGACTATGAGTCACGACTGGACTATCAGCACTGGATTAAAACATTCTTAGTATGAAATGCAGTCCAACTATCTGATTTACGAGAGCGTTAGAGTAATGCAAATGGCCTTATATAGAAACCAAGTCTGATGTACTGAAGCACTGAAAACGGCTTACTTTATCTTCTGCAAGATTAATTCACATTTGCCTTCAAAGTAATCCAATTTCTTCCTGTCCAGATCTGTCTGGATCTTCAGCCTGTGGTTCAAGATGAAAGACTGGAGAAGCTGAATGCACTTTGTCAGCTCCTGTGTATGAAAAGAGCAAACAGTGACTAAGCAAACAGAACACATTTACGCATTTCATGCAGCTTAATGTGGTGAGTACATTTCCTCGAAGCATATCCTTATTCCCCCCCCTCCCCAAGTGCCTCGACCAATTCATGCTTGCAGTGCTATCACTTTAAAAAGAAGCTAGTTAGCACTGTGACTTTGTGACTTGCAAGCTTGCTTATTACTACTAGCGCCCCATGTTTTTGGCTTTCTGACCCGAGCATTTTAAAACCATGTTTTATCAAATCTGACTGTGGTTCAAGTTTGTTTATATAATAGTTTAAAATTATATGTGGTGTGGTGACTTGCTCATATCAGAACTTTGTAATACATTTTAATTTCATCAAAATAAAAAAGCAGAACCAGACAACAATGATGGGCTGATGCAGTTTTTCCTCAGGGATACCTTATAAATGTTGGTCTCAGGATAATAACCACTTAGTCAAGTCAGAATGAGCATTTTGATGAATGATGCAGTGTGCAGAAAATCACAGGTGCAGGAATTCATGGATCCAGCTTTTTCCACTTCTAATAAGATACCAATACTTTGGCTTCAGGTGTCTGCTAATCCACTGTCAGTGTTAATGTAATGAGCTGAATCCCTCACTCAAAGAAAGAGCCTGGGATGATTGATGAAAGCATAAAACTTACTTTTTTTCCTCTTAATTTTGTAGTAAAAATTTAATGTGAGAAATAAAATGTAACAAAATTAAATCGAAGAATAGTAATTCACTATACTGGTATTCATTAGTAAAATTATAGCGTTACAGCAAACACAGAACTGCATGAAATAGACTGGACTGCTGATCGATATCCCCACTAAAAGCATTCCCTTACAGTGAGGTAGAGCTCAGTCTGTCTCTGCAGAAGAACCGTGTTTTCTCTGCACGTCTCCTTCAGACTTTCTGCTCTTTTCTTCTCTTTGTCCAGCTGTGCTGACAGATGAGACAGCTTGGCCATCTTTAGACCCTCGCTCTCATGCTCTAGAAGAAATCACAAAACAGCAGGTTAGTCGTTGTGTCGAGCGAACAGAATGACGTGGTATGAAGCCATGTGGTGAAAGTGTTTGTAGCTGCTGTACCCCATTCAGGCTGATGGTAAGAGAGAAGGCTCAGACACTTTTCTTTGAGATGTTTCTCCAGCTGTCTTGGTAGACCCTGTTTCAGACTTTGTACATTCTAGTAAAGAAAATACAGCGTGGGCATGAGGAAAGCATTTGTAGTTTGAATTCATTATCAAACGGTTCTGGTGGTGTGCATGTTTTTATGGGTTTACGCTAAACAGATGCAGCACATCCCAAACAGATTTTAACTTGCATGTACTGAATTTTATGATTCACCTTCTCGGAAGGCATGAGCTCCATCACGAGCTGGGGGGTCAGGCCCAGGACCGACGGCTGGTCCTGGTTTGTTGTGTTACTGGGATCCAGCTGCCTGACACACTGAGCCACCAGTAGACACCTCTCCATCGTCTCATAGAACTACAAAGGAACAAACGCAAATTATTTGTTTTATTATATGTATTTTTTTTAAGACCATCATTAGTAAGAGTCTCCTAATCGATTAAAAACTCCATGTGATAAACTTTTGTCTATAAATATAAACTTTTATCTGACTGTTTATCTATAAAAAACATTCAATAAAGTCGTTTTAGCCGTACAGCGAGATGAAAATCTGCTCAAAATTTGACAAAGAACATACAATGAATGCTTGTTAGCCTGTCCATAGCTCACTGATAGCTCTTTATGCACTTTTAAACTGTGTAAAGAAGTGAAATGTACCATGTTCTGGTCAGGGGGTACAGTGGCATGGTGCTTCCTGACACAGTGGTTCTGGATCATCTCCTGCAGCCCTCTGTGCAGGCTCTCGGAGCGCAGCCATTGAAGTTTCTGAATCTGCAGCTTCTTTTCAGCCTGGGAAAAAAAAACCCAAAACACTCACACATGTAAGGACTCACACAGTACCTCACAAAATCAGTCAGATCCTGTCCCAGTTCTAGAAAGAAGGCTTAGCAAACTTGGAGCCAGACCCTAAACACTGAGACAGGAACCTTTGAGATTTGGAGTCGAGAACAGCTGATCAGGCTTAGGTAACGATGAGTCGCTCCATCTTGAATTAAGCACCTTTATGGGTGCTGGAAAAATAAACCAAAGCATTAATGGTAACCCCGTGAATAAAGATCAGGGTCTCTATTTGAATTCAGTTTCATTTTTAAATGCAATCGTTCACCTGTTACCTGACGAGGTTATAGGAGATGAAAATAAAATGTAATACAAATATGGACCAAACATAAAAGACTTCTGTGATTTTAACATTGCAGTCCAACCTGAAACTTCCACTTTACATGTAAAAATCTGACTCTGTGGCTTCTGATGACCAATCCAATGCAAATAAAGCTTTTGAAATGAAATATTGTTACAACATATTCAGACTGCCTGAAGCCTGTATTCACAAAACCCATTGTAAGATACATTTAGTCCAGCTGTTTAGTCCATGTAGCGCTCACTACATGCCTAGCTATCCACACAGCTTTTTCAGGTTTTGCAGGAGAAAATTTGCCAGTGAGCAGGTTATTCGAACATAATCTGTTTCTCTGGTAAACGACACAGAGGTTAAGTTAGCTCTCTTAAAACTATAAATAAACAAACAGCTTCTTTTATTCCAGTATTTTTCAGTTTTTTTAAAAAAAGACTGTTCTCTTGAGCAGAGAAAGGGTCGATCCATGTTGTTGCAATTCTTAGTTCTCGCCAGTAGAGGTCAGTAAGTCACAGACTATTTATTGAATCATAATGAGTGGACTAAAATCTCATTTCCATAGAGGTGTGACAAATTATGACTCCTCATTTCTGAATAGTACAAGACAAAAAAATACAAGAAAAAAACTGTTCCATGACCCAGTTTGAATTATTTTTTAAAACTCTACACTGATTAACTTCTGTGTTGATAAAAACAAATAGGAACAAATAGGAACAGGAACGACAGACACCTTGTCCAGCTCTGTTTTCAGCGGAGCGGTGAGTCCGGTTTGATCCACATGCTGTGCCAGAGTGGCCAGGAGTTTACAAAACTGCGGGTTCTGGATCAGATCTTCTTCAGTCATGTGACACAGTGGAAAGGAGGCGAGGACTGAGGGGAAAGGCACAAAATGCAGAGAAGTAATTAAGGACGGCCAAACTAAACGGACAATAGTAAATTTGGCAAGAAAATAAAGCTAAAAGAGCCTACTTTCGTATTTAACAATAACATCGTTATTTATACATTAATAGATAATACTTTAAACTACGTTAATTTATTACATCTACTTTCTGTTATTGCTACAATATAGGGTTACTAGTAGATATGCAGTCCACTTGTCTTCTTACCCTGTTGATGCAAAGTGTCACCCTTCCCAAGCGACGATATGTTTGCTGTCTCGCTACTACCGGACATTTTCCAATTAATTATTGTCCTTAGTATCCAAACATACAGGAGGTTTGTGGATTTGAGAACTATTTCTTTCAAACACGAAGACGAGCTGAAATCTTAAACACGTACTTCCTGAATCAAGTTGCGCGCGTTTGCCGGAAGCCTTCTTATTGGCTAACTGGACCACGTGGTCATACAGCGGTCCCTGGGTGACGGCAACGTGCTATTCACGAGAGCGTGAGGTGTTGAAGCGGAAAATATCGAGATTTTAATCTTTTCCCACTAACAACTAAACGTCCTTTGACATTAATATTAATAAAGTGACATGGCTTAAGATAAAACTGAATGTTTGTTGTTGTTAAACAACAATTACAGTAACAACAACTAGAAGCTAAAGAACGCATTTGGCCATTATGACACTATCAGAATATTCTCTTTCTTTTGTGTCCTTTGCTCCTCGATATTCTTTTTATTTTTAATTTTCCTGTTGTACTTTTAATTGTATCACATTTTTAGTTCATTTCTTGTTCATTTGTTTTTTTTTAATTTATTTTAAATCTTCACTTTTTGCTTACTGCTCACTTGGTTTGTTTGCTTCACTATCTGCATAACCTCCGATTAAAGATGTTGGACTTTTGCTTTGTCTCCTCTGGGTTCTCTTTCCCTGTGTTCCTTATAATTGGCATCTTATCCATCTACAAACAGGTATTTCACAACCACATGACAGAGGATAAGGCATACACTGCTGTGTCTCTGGGCTTTCCTTGAACAAGCAGTTAATAAAATTGACGAATAATCAAAATGTGCTTTGACTCTTATAGCTCGATGTTGGGGAGTAAAATCAATAAATGACTCAAATTATGTGTATATGGTCAAATTATATATGATCAACTATGTGCTGCAAGTTAGGTGGAGAGGGTGTTCATTGGACAGAGATGGGGCTCTCGTGTTTTCATGCTGGCTGTCAGTCTCCTCGTCCTTAAGATGATTTTGTTTTCGTGCCCTGGGCTTGTATGATCACCTCGCACCACGGCGGTTGCTGGCAGCGGAACTAACATCGCTTTGAACCTCCAAGGAGAGATGATATTAGAAGCAGATGTCTCGTTGTGCTTTAAGAAATGACAATCAAGTTTTTACATTCCACTAAATTTGGGGGATTTTTGGCTGTGGGATTTCTCCTGCTTGCTTTTTCTGTTTTTGATTATACAGCAAAGAAAGTGGATTCAAAGACGTGGAAATATCCTTCTACATGTCAAGCAGAACATTACTAGCAGGGGGGTGATTGGCAGGACTATGGCGCACACTGCCCTGTTTATTTACAGGCAATAAAACCCAGTATGTTCACCATTGTTAAAGTAGATCATTTATTTATTCTTTTATTGGGCCTGTCAAGTCTTTACAGGCTACATCAGCCCCTGTATTTATCAGTTTCTCTTCCATACATATTATATGTACATATGGGGCTGCACAATACTGGTATTCTTGTAGCGTGTCTTTTCCACATGAACACTGACTTCTCATGTTTGCTTCTCGCAGCTGTTTCCTCGCAACAGTCCCTGTCCATATCTGGTCTTCTCAGTGAAGGATTTCTTACCTAAGATTTGCCAACACTGCGTGTACTTCTCTCCCAGTAAGCGTTAGCCAGCTTTAAACTTTGTGGATCTCCACTGGACGGAAAGGTTTGCGTTTCCAGTCTCAATGTGGCTGTTTCAACAGAGTAATGTAACTTTGAATGGTCCACAAATAGTAACTTCACTCTACTGCTGTTTACACAATAACTAGTGGTCCTCACTCATCAATGAGTGGGCAAATTTAGACATGGGAGCCAGTCAATTCGAGTAAAATTGTAACTGACAAGGGATAAAACCAATGGATTGTGCTGGGATGCGACTCTATGGGTGTGATTGGTTGAGCTTATAGACCAGCCCTTATTCGCTTGACCAATTAATGAAAGCTAAAGGTGACCGACAGCTACTTCGGCCAATTATAACGTTGGACTTCCCGGTAGGTGGGTCTCCGTGTAGAGGGGTGGGGTGTTCGAGGTCATTCAGTCCCTCTCTGATTCACTCTATCGGCGTGTGTGTGTGTTGAGGGAACGGGTAGTTGGAGTAAGGAATCGCCGGGCGCTAGTGCATCACGAATGCTTTTTTTTGGGAAAGAAACGCCGCTGAAAAATTACACCATAGACCGAAGAAGCGACCCCCGGTGACGACTTCTGTGAAAAGAATCTTTTCAACGCAGCGACTGCGCCACACGCACAGCCAGGCAAACGCAGCCGGGCTATCAAATGTTAGCCTACTAGCATCCCTGAAAACAGACGGGATCAAGGTGTTGATAGCTAGCCTCCCAGCTAATTGCCCATCAGCTAGCATCCTCAGCGGTAGCATCATTAGCTCGTTTCTCCTCGCGCACGTCGAGACCTCGCTATCGCTCGTGGCGGTCCCTTTTAGGTCGCGGCAATCAAATCCGACACTGAGACAAAAACAGAGAGCGGTTCCTCCTCACTGGTGCTGGAGACGGCGTCTGCGTTGCATTAGTTGACACCATCACACCCAACCCCATCACCTCTGCCCCTCTTCCTCCACCCGAAACACTGGAAATCCACAAGCGGCCGGGTAGCGGCGAGGGGCCGGCGAAGCTGGGGGTGGTAACGCTACCGGACTCGCAGGGAGTCACAGCGGCTACAGACAAGCACAGCCGTGGGGATCTACCGACAAGTATGGACGGGCTGGCCGTGGAAGTTCGCGGCTCGAACGGGGCCTTCTACAAGGTAACCAGGTTACAAACGTAGTTTCTAGCTGTCCCAGTTAAAGTTTTGTTTCCTTCTCAAAACGTTAGGTTTCGCTCTTCTGAGCTCAGCCCTCGCTAACTGGTACTCTGCTAATGCTAGCGTGGGTCCACTCCTGACGAACAGGGATGGTTTTGCGTTCAATTAGGGCTGGCCATTGTGGTGTAGGCAGCTAGCCGTAGCTAGCAGTTAGGCTAGGCACACTTGACATCACCATGCATGGCCTATGTGTGTTCATTTTCTTTTATCACATGTCAGCGTGAAAACGCGCTGTAAACAGTTTTGAAGCGACACACGGCAGGTTCGCTAACGAAACCCTGGATGGAAACATTTAAAAAGGGCAGCGAGCTGCTGATCAGACAGCTGTTGTGCAGCTCCTACGTGCAAGTGTGATGTGATGCTACATCAAAGCTCACATTCTTCATAATTGCTTTGTAGCCCAGCCCAGGTTTCAGCTACAGCGCTGTACGGCGTGTCTCATGTTTATTGCCCTGACTGACGCTTTTGGTTTCAATTCTGCCTGATTTTAAACAGAAAGATCACTTTCACATGCAGACACATGACTTCAGGTCTTTGTTGTTGCTGTGTCACAGCTTGTTTACGACGTAACATTAAGATGGCAGCCAAACTATACTATCAAGTATGTTTTGTTTTTTGTTTTTTCTCAGATGTCTTAAGTGGTCAGACTCACAGGTTTGGGTCTGTGAGAGAGATTGTAAGGTTTAAGGGCCAGCTTCAGACTGAGGAGACACTAAACCGTTTTGGGGGATAGGGAAATAAACCCTACTAACCCTCACCCCCTCTGTCTAGTTTTAGAGAACATCTTTGATTCAGCTTTTCAGATAGCCCATTTCTTTGCCTGTGTCTTCAGTCTTTTTTTTCCTCAACCTTTCAGCTGGCCGGTCGAGCACATGGTGGGTTAGTGATGACCCTATATTTACCCTCCTCATGCTGCCTCACCTGTTGTTCTGTTTTACGGGGTGACAGTTTGGCTCTGGCGTCAAACACTTTCCACGAAACTCTGCTGTGTCCATTATTTCACAGCTCTTTCAGCCGATGTCATTGACACATAGCTGCGATTCTCTTTAGTGTATATTTTTGCCCTTGATGGAGGTGAGTGGGGTGAAAGCTTTGCTACTTTCCTCCTTTCCTGTCGTGATTGGCACATGGATATAAAAGGATTTTATTCAATTCCACCACCATTCACCCCGTTACCACTTTGTTTTCTGTTGAGCTATGAATGGGCATCGTGTTTATTAAAGTGTCAGGAAAGTGGCACTCTATATGGTTTCTTTTGCAGCAGAAAACACAATGGGAAAACTGAGAAGACTAATTTTTAAAAATTGTGACATTCCCTTTTTTCTCTACGTCACTGAAGCTTGTGCATTAAACTGCCTACTTTTCATCTATTTATATTTTATTATAAGCCCAGTCTGATCAGTGGCTGGTTATATTGAAAAATCTGTGAGAGGAATATTGCAGACCTGGCATCTTTTCTCTAAATGGTCTTAGTGACCACGTGTGTGCTGGCCTAAGGCTGAAGTGTGGACACGGGCAACTGTAGTACAAACCTAGCAGAGCCTTGTGTAAGGGGCAGTTAACCTGACAGAGCATGCACACAGCTGTCTCACCACATGTGATCTGTGGAAACTGAAGGGTGATTACTTTGTAACTCTGATCGGTTGGCATTGCTGACTTCTGTGATAAAGGCCAATCGGCTCTGAAGCTGGAACCCTGCGGTGACGTATAGTATAGAGGGATGGATGGTGTGAATGCTAACCAGGACCTTCTCAAAACTGAGGCAGTGGTGGTTAGCATTAATATCTGAGAGTAGACTGCAAAAAAATAAAAATGGTGTGACATCTATGCAATCAAAACCAAAGTGGCTTTAGAAAACTTTTAATGTGGTATCATGTTTCTGTCTTCCTGTATCATGATTCCCGTGTTGAGCTTATGTGTTCTCAGCATTTCCGTACCCAGGGCGCACACCCACACTTTGTTAAATTATTTAATAATTAATGCTATACATACTTTGTGACAGTAAATAATGGAGTACAAATCAGTTGCATCTCCAGTAATTGTCTTATCTTGCGGCTAGACCACAGCTGTGTCGTCTTGGATTGAAGGTAGAGACGGTTTTCCTAATTTCTGCTCTGCAGCCTTGATGAGCTACAGTGTAGCAGGTACTGGTGAAAGATGGCCCTCCAACACCAGAACCAGAACTATGTCACCGTTTGCTGCAGTCTAAGTCAGCAGGGTTGGATTTTGTCCTGTAGCCGGATGACATCAAACTGCTGCAACAGTGACCTGTCCATCTAGCTGTAGGGAAAGTTGAAACAGAAAGGATCGAAGGCAAACTTTGAAATAAAAATGAATCTTGAAGTTTATACTTAAATTAGGTTTTTTTTTTTATAGTTATTTTTGTTTTTAATTCATAATCAATGAGAAACAAAATACTGAGGTATATATTTATACC